ATGCTCTGACATTAAGTACAAGCACTTAAAAGATTAAACACCTCACTTTATTTCTAATTACCTAGTAGTTATGAACATTGTACTTTTCTCACAGAAATATCTTAATACATTCCTGATTTTATTCCTGTGTTTGCAACAAAAGAAAAGATTCCATGCTTCTGATGTGTAGAGGTTTCTTTTCATTATCGTGCTCCCAGGATATGCGTCACACTAACACATCAACACTTTGGGAAATTAAATAAATCAGATTTATTTTTTGCAGTAGCCTTCTTAGCCAGTGTAAGCTTATAAACATCAGTGAAGGAATCACAAAGTTCTGTAGATAGTCAGGCAGCTGAGGCTTTAGAATAAAGAACAGTGTTTCAACATTCTTAAAGCTACTTCACTTAGTATTTCACTTACAATACAGAAAAAACTACTATGCAAAGAGATAATAAATTTCCATCATTGTTCAGTTCTACAGATGGCTTTTGGGTAGCTGCCTCATTAGAAGATAAAATCCTATTGCTAAGAATATTAGCTAAGAACACAACCACATAGCAAACATACTTAATGAGCGTATTACATTTTGAAAAGAAAAACGTGCCATTCTAAACAAAGAAGCATATTTAATAGCTGCAAACAAAAATCTAATCTGCAGTATCTGTGATGATTCAATAAATATGAAACTCCTGAAACCAATGGAAACACTAACACTGACTTCAAACAGCTTTATGTCAGCTTCCAAAATTTACACTAACTGCAATAAGTCCATATATTCTACTAATATCTATCTTAATAATGCTCAAAACCCCAGTAAGTTTTGAAGTGGCCAGTAGGCACAAGAACAAATTCTTTATGAGAAACTCCTTGTATCATATATCACCTTCTTTTACAGGAAAACCTGGATATTTTAACACGTATTTGAGAGTTGCTGAACCACAGAAGTGCCACAAGCAGAGACGTCTGCAGAATCACAATGGTAGAGACTTTCTTCATTCCCTTACCTACATTCAGTTTCTTGCTTTTTCCTGGATCCTCTCCCACTTCTTTTTCTTATCCCCTACACATAGGAGAAAATTGTCTCCTGCACAAAATGAATCTTTCTTCACCCACTACCTCATTAGTGAGTTATTTAAAGGTGGCTTCTTCTGATCAGGGAGCCAGTCATGAACCTGCTCTGTGATTGAGCTACTGAAATATCAGCAATAATCTGTGAAAGTGTTCCACTGCTATCATATAACTTGTACAATCTATAATCTATACAATTTTGTCTAATAAAAGATTTATCCTCCTCTGCAAGTTTTGCTCCCTATCATAACATACCCATTAAATACTTATTAAATGTATGCTCCAATTATTTTTACATCCACATAAGCTATATCCATGTAAGTGGGTTTCAATCACATAGAACACTAATATAAAACAAATAACAAAGAATTACTTTAGTCCTTCATATGTATTTATTTCAAAGTACTCCAATTCTAGCCTCTGTATTTCAGGTTTGCCAGCAGTTACAACAAAAACTTAGGGATTCAACTGTCCTTTACAGAAGGAAAATCCTTTAAGCAGAGCTCTTTGTAGGGAGAACCATGCTATAATCATATGATTTCTTATTGAGTCATTGCATGTGAACTATGCTTATAAAGATGGAATAAGTCAAAATGCATTCCTGGAAATCATCTAGAAATTGTTAAACATTTATACTGTAATATTGTCAGTAATTTTAATAAATCAGGATTTTTGACTTCTATCAGCCTATCAACTCCTAATTTCAGATGTACTGCAAAGGATCTCTGCCTGAATTTGGCTTGTATGTATAAAATTTACTAAAAAATCAAGTGCTATCAACCAAAGCAAAGTTAAAGGAGTAGAAAAGAGCTACCTTTAGCTGTGGAGGTATTTGGAAATAGTCTTACAACAGCTCTCAAATGAAACGAAAGTTGATCCTTTTGGGAGCTGCATTATAGAGAATCTGAGTATATACTTCACATTTCACATTGTATCAGCAGCCTGTGAAATGTCTCATGCTGGACTTGGAAAATATTATACAAAGGTAGCTGCTAATGAATCCTATAGGACAATTCCTTTGCTACTATTCAGTAAGATATCAGAGGAAAATAAGGTTGGATAGAAATTTCAATATTGCTGAAGGACTCGACTGTCACTACAATGTGTGTTTTTCAAAACATACTTGAAAATCTCACCCAGTACTTTTTTTTTTTTTGAACAAAACATGGGCTTGAGACTAGTTTCCAAAACCCCTATCTAGTTTCCTGCCTCATTAAGAGTACAGTTTTCACAAGCTCCTGTGCCTAGGTATTGATTTAATTTACAAGGCTTCTATTTCTGAAAGCTTTGATTCAATGTGTTATGTTACATATATTTTTGTTGCACAGGGAGAAGTTTTGGTCTTGCTTGAGTGATTGGAAATTTGTTACCATTTTCCATGGGATCCAAATTTCAGTTATATTTGGGGCTTTCGAGAATTCCTAAACTGCTTATGAGTGTGGGTAACTGTTGCATGTGGACCCTCCTTAGAAGTCCCCACTTCAAAACAGAAGTTCAAGAAATAAGGCTGTCATGTTATTTATTTATGGACTTTCATTTTGTAATGGAAGCTTTAAACATGATTTATGGAAAGCCACAAAACAAACCAATGTTAAGATCAGAATTCTGATTTTGGGGATCTTTTTTGTTTTCTCTGCAGAGGTACTATTTTCTACTATGATATGTATAAATTGCAGCACATTTCAAGATTACTGAAAGTACTATGAGAATATACAGCACACACTTACTGGAACATTAAAAATCACCTCCTGATATAATGTAATTAATCCAATTCCTCATATTGACTGTAATATTCTCCCAGCAAAAACTGGAAATTTTCTTGAAGAAAAATGAGTAACTGAAGAAGATGACTACCATTATAAAACATTTCTTTAATTAAAAATTAAAGAAAAACAGCTTTCAGGCAAAATTTCTGACAGACTCAATTACTGTTTTGTTGACACATAAAACTGGGATCTTCTTTCATCAAAATTCTGCTTTTCTACATCTTCTTAATTTTTCTCTTTTGATTATATATAGGACAGGACATAAAAAAACTCCAATTCCTCTAGGTTTAGCATTACTTTATAAAATAATTTAATAGTAAATTTAGGAAAAGTAACTGGAAACAAAAGCAACAAAAGATGAGAGAAGTAAGATGAGAAGATCAAGTAACCATTTAAATTACTCTGGAGTGCTACTTGATGTTTCCAAATTATTTTAATTTAATTCACCTATAATGTATAAGCTTTCCATGATTTCACTTCACCATAATTTTAATTGCTAAATAGTTCTTTTACAGACATGAAACCAAGAAATAAAAGAAAAAAGAGAAATGCCTCAGTGGGTTAAAGCATAATTCCCTCACCTTGCACTCTTTCAAACTATCCAAGTTTTTTACCTAATGACAAGAGGCTCTAAAAATGTTTAATTTCTGAATGTATCCTTCACCACTTTATCAACTTTTTTTGCTGATAAATTTTTATGATCAAAACTGTTGTTTTTAAAATAAAAATTTAAAAATAGACATCATAAGAGAGGACAGACAACATTCCACCAGAAATGCTCACTTGGCAGAACTTAACAGGCTAAAAATAAGGTTGATTTCTCAAAACATTTTGATGGAAACAAAGGACATGGGTAAGTGATGCCAAACTTCTCAGCCTATATTTTCTGCTGCAGCTGGCTCTTCAGATAGCCAAATCATTACTCCTCCACGTAACCAGGTGTGCTTCAACTCCCAGCTTCATCTGAGCTCTAACTATGGGCTATTTTTATCATGCCTGCATAACAAGGTCTTAATAATATTTTTGCTTATAATCAAGCATGCTACATTAATACCCAATGGAAGATACAGGATTAGAATTTATTGAGAACAGTGATGATCAAAGAAAAGAAGCCTGTTCCAGAAAAGGTTGTCAAAAGTAAAAATGAGTATCAAGCATAGATATCCCTCTAGAGGCTTCCTGAACATGGATGGATCCAAGTTTCATTTTTTTAATTGAATTTGAATTCCAAGTGTAACTGTAAAAGACTCCAGAGACATAACTAAAACAGTTCCAAAACAGAGAAAGGGTTCTGAAGAAAACAACTTAAAGGTAGAGAAAGAAGAAAATTATTTCCAGTGGGACTTTTTTAAAGTCACTAACTGATAAGAAACAAGAAAAGGAGAGCTGTCCCAGATATCCAGGACTGCAGAGATGAGAAAGGAGAGTGAGCACAGACTGGCAGAAGACATATCTCTGAAGTACTAGAGAGAGCTGAAGTCTCTAAAGGAAGTCTTGCTGAGCCACAAATGCTCTAACTTTGAATTGGCAAGCACTGCAAATGGGATCTGGGCATGTCTCAACTTGCAGCATCCAAACATCAGCAAGCCTCAGGCTCCCCGCGTCGCTGTCAGTGACGAATACTTGTTTCCAAAGCCTGGTCTGATGCCTCCCACCCTTTAAACAACAGACGCCAGCAAGCAGCAGGGTGGGTTTTTCCCCCTATTTTTTAACCTTCTGCACGTGACAGCTCTTAATTGCGCCCGAACCCGGCCTGGGCATCCCCCGGTCCGCGGCACACTCCACATGGGTCCGGTCCCTGCCGGCACCGAGCACCCCGTTCCACGGAGGCTGCCAGGGCCTTCACCAGCTCGTCGGCAGCTCGAGGAGAGCAGGGGAAAAGCCGTGAGGAGCCGCCCGCGGGGCTGGCACGGATCCTGCCAGCGGCTCTGCACCGCCGGGACGGCCCATACTCCCCGCCAGGGGCTCAGCGACAGCCCAGTTAGACCCCTGCCTTTCCCGCTCGTGTCCTTGTCCCCGACCCTGTCCCCGACCCTGTTCCTGCCCCAGTCCCTACCCCTATTCCCGTTCCTGCCCCGTCCCTGTTCCAGTCACGGTCCCTGCTGCGCGTGCGTGGGGAAGGAGCCAGCTGCCGCCTGCGCGCATGCGCGCGCCGCCCGAGCACGCGCGGTTTGCGGGCGGGCGGGCGGAAGTGGCGCCGTGGGCCGGGCCGGGCACGCGGGCGGGCCGGAGGGACGGATCGCTGCGGGCTGGAAGTTTCTTCTCGGGCACCGAGTGCACTGAAAAGGAGTTTCTGTTGTTAATACGTCTGTGCTAATACGTCTGAGGTCTTGGTTTTAAAGATCTCGGTTTCTTGCAGCTGACCGTTTGACTCTCTGAAGCAGTTAGTTCATATCCCGAGGGGATCCGCAGTGTAGTGCAGTCGACCCGAGGTCTCTCTATTTTCCCGTGGGTTGCTGCTTTCTAGAGCTCGAAATACTGTTGAGATAATGACTGTGTAAGAATCCACTTTCCTCAGGTAACGTTTGATTATGGCCTCTTTTGCGTAATGTCGGATTAGTAAATTTTAATCTGAACTAAAGACGATTTTGGTTTGATTTTTTTTGGTCTGTTTGCTTTGGTTTGGGGGGTGTGGGTTAGTTTTTTAGTTTATTTGTTTGTTTTGGTGATTTGGTTTTTGAGGGTTTTTTTGAGAATTCTAGTTGTACTCTAGTGAAGGTAAGTGCCAGCTGTGTTATGAATAGTAAGAATAGGCTAGGACTTATTTCCCGAATAAGTGCCTGGGGTTTTGTAACAAGAGCAAGCTGAAGCCTTGCAGGTAAGGAAATCAGATGTCATGCTGCTAACTTGGTTTCTCCTATTTTAGTTAGCTGACAGTTCTTATTTTCTCCTCATGATAACTCTCAAGGAAATCATAAGTTACAAGATGAGACTCTTACAGAAATTCAGATTGCACATTTTGTTCATTTAGGGCCCTCTTGATTTCACTAAGACTGCTGTCTGACAAAAGATTTCTCTTGTTGACTGCAGGTTGAGTTTAAGGTGGTTCCGTGTTGTCAACTCTGTTCAAGGTGTAAATATTCATTTTTATGAGAAAATTTTGCATAAGCTATAGTAAGAGTGTATGACTGTCCACACGTGTGCTTTTAAAATGACACATTACCTACATTGTAATTGTTTTAACTTTTGTACAGTTAGTTTGGATATTGCACTGACTTGTATTTGTATTTACAGGGGCTTCAGGTATCGACCATTGTGACTGACCACATCAATGAGCTGCTGATGCTCGTGGCTGTTCCTTCATTCTTCACAAAACTGTGGTGAGGTTTCCTCCAGAAGTCCACACAATCATGTGGTTTATTCTTTGATTTGGAAAATGAGTTTATGTGTCCTCTACAAGTAGCACATGCTTTGATAGATGAGGAATCTCCTCATACCTTTGACTACTACAGTGTCCTTTTCCCAAAAAGGCATTAATCCTCTTTATGTCATTTTTGTGTATAACTGAAGTATTTCTTGTTTGTAGAGAAGGGAGTAAACTTTTCAATTTACCTCTCACTTCTTGTGTTTTCTTTGCTTTTGTGCTCCAAAGCTAATTTCTCATTAGTTCTTGAATAAAAGTAGTGCTCTAGAGGAGACTACAGAGGAATAGTCTGTTTTTTGTAGTGAGAACTAGAGTCAGGACTCAATGGTGTATACTTTTGTCTCGAACAAAGGCTTAAATGCTAGGTGGATCTGAGTAATCCAGGCAGAGAGGCGTTAATTACTTGCTATTCTGTGGATTAGATTGATGTATTATGATGATACACCATAAGAGAAGAACAGAACTAACTTTGACTTCCTCCTCAAATAGATTAATTCTGGAGTCAAGGTAGAGAATATTAATGTGCTTATTTTTCAGTTTTGTTTTTTGCAGCATTAAGTGCTTGCAGTTTTTTACAGTGGAATTGTGTTGTCTATAATATTTATATTTGATTTTTTGCAGTATGAACTAAAAGTGGTAAAGCTTATCTTGCATCTTGTTTATAATTTAGGATGCTAATAGGGACTCATTTTTTGGGTTTTTTTGTTTTTTTTCTTTTAAATGTGTCTTGATGAATTTTACTGAAGAAAACAGCAGAATTACAGTGTTTTAAAGAACTGGACTTGGAAGACATATGTCTTCAAATATATGAAATCTGTGATGGGACATCATTCCATTACTAGTGAAATGACTTTTCTTCCAATTTGTTATAATCTGTTGGTTCAGTTAATCTTCACTGAATCGTAGTGATTCTCCTTGCTCAAAAAAATTCTGCAGGTTCTTGGAACAATTCGTGGTTCTGACAGGAGGTCAGCTTGATCCATCTGTCATGGCTAATAAAGTGTTTTTCACTGCTAGAATGTTCTGTTTGCTTTAGACAATTATAAGGCATGTTGGTACCTTTAGTTTAACATTGTCCTTTTATGACAATGTCTTTGTATACTGAGCTTACTACCTACAAGTTTTTGTACTGAATTGTTTGAGAAACTTTGTACTGCTTTACTATGTTAATTGCCATACAAAATTTGGCTATTTCATGTTGCATAGAGAATCATGGAGGAAGGGACGAAACAGTGATGAATCGTCTTGATGATAAGAACGTATTAGCTTTTTCCATGTAGCTTAGTTTTCTTTTGTTCCTGTCTTTCAGTCATGTTGCACTGGTGTTGATGTCAGCAGTTCTGTAGTGTTTGTGGCTGTGTGGTGTTAACTTCACTTGCAACTGTAGCTTTTGGTTTATTAATGATTTTTAGTGTGCACTGAAGGGTGGTATAACAAATTTTGAGAGTTTAGACTCTGATGTTTTTCCAAACATAATTTAAGATTTTTTTTAATTAAAGTGGAAGTTAAAAAAGCCTAGAGGAAAAAGAAGGCTTACACATAAAGACTTAAATGGTCAAGTTCTTCGTACCATTCTGTTTTGCAGTGCAAGGCTCAAAAATTGCAGTCTTTAAAAGCCACTGTCTGATTCTATAAGTGCATATATCTTTGCGTTTATGCTTGAGTTTTAAGCACTGAAGTCACCAGGCTCTCAGAGCATGTATCTGGGCTGTGCTGGACCTAGAAGGAAATACTGGTTTGGTTTTTTTTTTTTCTTTCTGTGGGAACTGATGAAAAGACTGTGAACCTGAAAGCTTTTCAAGTTTCTGTGCACGATACCCAAACAGTACCTAAATGCCTAATTCAAGTCTGTGGGTGTCTGTACTCTCAAGCTGCAAATGAGAAGGATGGAGTCAGAAATATAAGAATTTTTCTCTTGCTCCTGAACCTAGAGAAAGAGGGATTCTTTGACTGCAATATTTTGGTGGAATAATGTCCTCATTCCAGAAAAAAAAAAAAAAATAAAATGACTGCTGCTTTCTGTCGAAGGTTAATCCTTGTTCAAAGCCATTTCTATTTAGCAATTGTTTTCTGATGTACTGTGGTTTGAGTTTTATGCTTTTGAGATACATGCTGCTATTCTGTAGGCAATACAGACAGTTATTGTATTAAGGTAGATTGTTCCACTGTCTGAAATATAAGGTCTAGAAAATTTGTGGGTAGAATGTCAGGGACAGGCAGAGCAGCGCATAAGAGTTAAACCCATAGCCATCCTCAGTGTTATATTTCACTTAAGTGAGATATATCATGTCGTCATTTGGGGTGTTGACTGGTGGGTTACATCCTATATACAGTATACAGTCTGTATATCCTTTCTGGTTTCTCATACAGTGTACATCCTTTCATACAATTCTTTGTTTGTTAAAATCATTAAGCTATTTGGTTGCTCCCTCTCTATATTTTTGTCACTTTAATTACTGGAAGGCAAAAGATATTTGTAATTCACAGACTTCCTCCTTCACCGTGTGCATGTACTGTGTGTCCTTCCTCTTTTAGGAGTGACCATGATGCTGTCTACTGTTCTTGCAGTCTCTATTGGTATTGTTTGTTTAACTACCCATCCTTATGAATAGCTCCGTTTACACCACTTACAGGCTTTTGTGCAGCAGACTCAGGTTGGAATGATTCTTGTCAGTGTTAAAGTCAGTCTTTTGAGAACAAAAAAGATACTTGACAGACTTATTTTCACTTTTTTACTCTTCAGGAGAGTTGTGAACACCAAGAACAGCATTAACAGTATCTTCATGTGGATTTGGGAAGCCAGTGCCTATCAGCTGATTTTTGAAAATTTACTTCTATGACTCTTAGAGCTGCATTACTCATGTCTTAGTTTTTTAATTCCAGAGAACAAGAATCTGGGAACCTCAACAGTTAGCACTTAAAACACATGGCCTTAGTTTTATATCTACAGAAGTTTAATATCTGGGGAAAAAAACCCATTTGTTTTGTACCTGAATATTAGTTACATAAATAAATTGTAGGAATGTACAGTAAGTAAATAATATGGGCAGGTCCCACTACATCATCCTTCATATGACTTCTTTTTAGAAATTCTCCTTTGTAATTTTGAAGGCACATGTGGAGTATTTGTCCCATTGAAATAAGTGGCAAAGGCTGTTTTTAAATGAAGGGATAGGAGCTACAGAATTGAGGGTAGTCATCAGAGAGATGAGTTACTGAACCTCAGTTGCTTTCTTTGCTTTATTTTAACAGTAATGTTTGAATTATAACAAAATGCTCTGTGTTGTTAGATATCTTTACGGGGAAGAAAAAAAAACCAAACAGAAAAGTCTATTTAATTGCTCAAGTACTGTAACAGAGAGAAATAGGAAAAAAAAAAGTGTTAATCTGTTATGTTGTATATCTCCCTAGCTCATTATAGTGTTGCTGGATGAAGATCAATATTGCTGATTAACTTTGAAGTTGATTCTTTCTAGGTGGAATAGATCAGCTTCTCAGCCTGCTGGAATAAAGTGTGAAGTAAATACTTTGAACTGAAAAGCTGTGTAAATCTTCTAGTTGCTCTTTTCACTAGAGGTTTAGATCCTAGTAAGCTAATGACAATGCTCTCCTGGTTCATGTTTGAAAACATACAGATAAAGGCATCATTTTTAGCCTCAGTGACATTTCACAGAAATTGTGACTCCTGCTACCTCACTAGTTAAAGCAATCAACAGAGACAGAACAGCATCTGCCCCTCTGTAGCAGGCTGTGACCACTCCTTCGGCTCAAGTACAAATTGAAACCTGTCTGGTGTAGCTGCCAGTTTTGTGCTGTCCTAGGTTGACACTGGCAGTAAGCCTGGTGCCCGCCAAAGCCTCAGGAGGATGGGGGAGAGAAAATACAACTAAATTTTGTGGGATGAGATAGGGAGATCACTCACCTATTACAACTATGGGCAAAAGAGACTCAAACAAACTAGTTTAACTTATTGTTGATCAAATCAGGATAGGATAATGAGAAATAAGAAAAAATCTAAAACCACCTTTGCCCCACCTCTCCCATCTTCTGGGCTTAGCTCCACTCCCAACTACTCTACCTCCTTCCCCTGAGAAACACAGGGGACAGAGAATGGGGGTTGTGGTCCATTCATCTCTGCCACTCCTTCCTCCTCATGTAAATTGGAAGCTAGGAAAAAACAAAAGCCAGTCATCCTATGTATAGTCATTTTGACTGAGAGATCCTTGAGCCAAAGTATTTTATTTCATGGAATGCTCATTTAGTGACTGTGACTTCTTGTTAATATCTGTTAGAAGGGGAGTTTCTTGGAAAATGGAGAAGAAGGGAAGATCATTCACGACTAGAGAAATAGTCATGAGTAAATAGTGAAGTCTCATATCTTTAGATACGGGAATGTGAAGTGGATTTTTGTTTTTTTTCTGAAGAATAAGGTATTTTTTTTTAAGAATATCTCTAATGTTGCCATCAGCAGCTATATGAATGGACTCGTATTTCTAACTTATGATCTTTCCATTTTGCAATGGTTTCCCAATTCTATTTCATTATAAATGAATATTTTGTAAGAATTCAGTCTGCCTAGCACTGAAAAAGCACTTTTGAACTGAATTTGAAATGTAGGTTTAGCTTTTATTGAGTAGAATACCCAGGTTTTATGTCCATTTGAAAGTACAGGAAATACTTTTTTTTCCTGTTCTTCACTGTCATATAAAACTGTCATTGCTAAAACTCTGTCAGAAATTAGGACTGTGGCTATGATACTGCCAGCTGAGTTTTAGAAAACAGATAGCATTTTTTCTTAGTTTATTAAAATGTACTTAAAACAGAAGATTGATAATGCTGTGGCTTTTATGTAGATACCCACTTGAAATAAAAATTGTACAGCAAAAAAGCAAAGATAACCCAAGAAGAATGAGATGACCATGTAATTAGAAAATATAGCAATAGCTACTTATTGGTAGATCACTTCTTTCTATTTCTCATATGTGTAACTTCACTGTAATAGACTATTCTTCCTATCCCTCATTCTCAGCGTTATAACACTATCACCAAAAATTTACTTCATTGACTTTCAGCACAGTGAATAAGCAGTAGTCAACACAGTTGCACATTTTCTAGCTTTTTCCCAGTGTGTTCCATGTTTAGCAACTGTAGATGCCTGTCTTATATTCTTTATTATTTTTTCATTACTGGAAAATTGATGAAAATTTTTAAATCTGTACATGAGTTTTTATTTTTTTTCATTATAAGTTGATAGACATTTTATTTTCATGCAGTCAAATTTTCTTACAGGGAAGCAATTGAATATAGAGACTTTTTATCCATGACCTTATGCTGAGGAAGGAGAAGTCTCTTCTTGGTTTCTAGCTGCATTTCTGTACATAAAATATTAACATTGTTTACATTGCCCTTTTCATTTATATGTAAAGCAATATTTTCTTGCCACTTATGGTTTTTTGGAATGCGTGAAAAATCAAGTAATTTGGATGACTGTCTATTGCCAAGGAAGTGTTACTTTCTTTCTTCTTGCCATTTACAATACTAAGAGACAAGACCAATCCCTCTGAAAATTCTTAGTCTTACATAATTAAACTTTCCTGTTGTGAAATAGATAAATATTCCCCTTCTGAGTAAACTGCAACCTCTAGTAATTTTTGATTTGGACAAGATGAGTATCTTCAGGACTCTTTATAATTTTTTATTAAGATAAAGCAGCTATGCCTGTTCAGTTGCTGAAGATCATGAAAGAACAATCTGAGACTCCACTACCAAGGCATTTGCAAAAGGAGGATTTGAAACACTTGCAAGAAGGCTGTGATCATACCAACAAATATATTCAGGTAACTGACTAGTAAAAAAATTTTGTCCTACTTTGAAATAGCTCCTGTTATATTTACAAGGCACCTCCATATTGCAACTCAGCTGGAAAGATTCTACAGCTCTGTGTCTTTGTGTGCATCTGTTGCATATCTTAAAGCAAGGGAGAATTATGACCTTGTTGAACTTCATTGCCTGTTGCTAATGCCTTCATTGTTTCACAGTCCTGCCCCTTTCTGTTACATTATCAAACTGAAATTTTATAAGAGGTTTTCATAGTTTATAAACTGTGGACCCATTTAAAACCACAATAATATGCAGAATGCTGTGCTGAAAATGGATGGGTTGTGGAAGGTCAAGTGGTACTTTTTTAAAAAAAAATATTAATAAGCACCTCTCACCTGTTAAATATCAGATATTTGAGTAATTTTTAAAGCAGTTCTCCCTTTGTATGGAGCAATGCAGTTTTATGAGAAGAAGAATTTGTAGCAGCTACCACCATCAAGATGAAATTGGGTTTTTTATCACTACCAGGTGTTCACTTACATTTTGCAATAACCCCAGATATATTTCAGATTGGAAGTACAATGCTGCTATACTAGTGAAAAGCAGAAATATTTTTTCTTACCTAAGACACATATTCTCTGTAAAATGCAGTGTCAATTCTTTAGGGTGTTCTTTTTTATCCTGTTTAACTTTTTTTTTCCTATGGCTCTTTTTAGTCATCCCTGATGCTTAAGTGTCAGGAAATAGCATTAATTGAGGCTTGCTTTCAGTCTGTTACCAAAAAACAAGGGAAAAGAAATTAAAGCAAGATAACTGTAGAAAACCTTGGGTGTCTTGAATCCTTAAAAAATGGCACAAACATTTTAAAAATATAAGCTGAAATGGTTTAATGTTTTTCTGTATCCAAAAAACCATTTTTATTTCCCCAGCTCTATATTCTCAGTTCCAGCTCTAATGCTTATCTGGCCTTGTGTTTGAGTCCATTCATGAGACATAAACTGAAGAAGACTATCCGTATCAATGGAGTGAGAGAGGATAGTTTACTGCTCTCACTCTGCACTGGATCACTGTGGTGTTGAAGAGATGCCAGGAGTACTGCACTTAGATATAGCAAAGGAACAAAACTACCCCTTTTGGAAGCAGGCAGCAGTTGAGTGTGATAGGAGGTGATTTGGTTCAGAATGATCCAACCTCCCTTAGGTTTTGTAAAGGAACGAAAGAAAACATCGATAACCAGTGCTGCTAGCAAACAGGGGTTTTATTCCTCAGGGTGTAGTTTCCTGTCCCTGTTCACATGGAGGATATATAGGGTTTCCTGCTTTGAAGAGCTATATCTGCAAGCAGCCCTGACATGGAAGAACATGGATTCTTATTCAGAAGGAAATGGTGAAGGAGACAAAAAGGGATTATAAATTAGAAAATGTTTCTGCCAAAATAAATGTTTCCATTAGGAAAGCAGAACAATTATTAGCAGACTATGATTTAAAGCGTATATGCAGTGCTATAGCTGATTGCTGAAAGGAAAAGTGTGTAGAATGTCTTTCTCAGACTTTTGCCTTATGTTAAGAGAACTACTGCTGCTGACATGGATTAGTAGGTGACTAAAACAGCTTGGCATAAAAACAGTGCAGCTGGAGAGCTGATAAAACTGGTGCTAATGCAGCATTAAATATGTAGGAAAATCCACTTCTGCAGTCTGAGCTTGAAGAAAGCCTTAGAATACACTGATGTTAGGTTATCTTAGTGGTGGCACAGCACACTCACTCTAGACTGCCAAAATAGGGATCAGATCCTGCTTTGACAAAGGAGGAAGGGCAGATGAGGATTTTATGAAGGGTGTTCTGCAAAAAAAAGCAACAAAAAACATTTGAGATGCTTCTGTCTGACTTGTGTCCCTCAGTCCTGTCATTCTTCTGAAACTTTTTTTCTTCCTAACATCCCTCTGAGAAATGCAGATTTTAAATTTGTGGAACAACTGCACAAGCAATGTTCATACATCCTCAGACATCCTGTCTGTTAACTAAACGTGATACCTTCTCTCATTAGTTCATCATCCTCTGGATTTTGCTGTGACAAAGCTGAAAATCAGCTGCCAAATCAGCTATGGAAGCAGACTGAGGGGCGAGGCTTGACAAGGAAGGAGACAGTCACTAGAGGAATTGCACATAGTCGGTTTGAGAGTGAGTCTAGTAGCATATGGAATGTGGAGGGTTTTGAAAGAAGTTTGCTTTTGAACTCAATAAGCAGTGCAGGATTTGTGGGGGAAGAGTCAATTTGAGCAAGTTTTGCAAAGGTAGTTTTTGTTGAATTTTGGAGCCCAAGTGTTTTGGGCATGTGGAGAAAGCAGTGGGTAAGTAGTATGTCTGCTGAGGAAGGTAACTAAAGCGTAGGTGTTTGGATACAAAGGAAACTGTTAGGGCCAGACTATTATAGCAAAGAATGTGGTCCAGAATTTGAAAACTCTTTGGAATATACTGGGATGTAAAAGGAAAAATAAAAAGCAGAAATAGTCAGAAAGCACTCGCTATCTCATCAGTGTATTCTGTTTGTAAATAGCATGCTGGTATGGATTGAAATTTCCTGGTAAGAAAAAACCAATATATAAACGTCAGGCGTTCCTGAGGTGACTGTTTCATTGCAAAGACATTATTAGATGAAAAAAAATTTCTAGTCTTTTATTTACCCGAGTACAGTTCAAGAGAATCTCAGCAAGAACAATTCAATATTAGTTGAAATTTTAAACAAAGTTGTAATTCTGAAACCAAGTGACAAACCTTTCTGTTTTTAGCAGGTTAGCTCCTGCTTTTCAGAAAGAAAACTGATGAGTTTTGTAAGGAACCTTAAGTGTCAAATTATTTTAAAAATCAGCATCTGCAAAATAATGTTGAGGTTTTGTGGAGTCTTAGTATTTCTTTATAAAACTGATAGTAAAATGTTGTAGAATCTGATTTGATTTCCTCCTCAATTAGAATGTTGTATAAAAAAATTTACTCTGAAATACCTCTACAGTAAAAACTCACTGCTGCATATTTTATCTTGATTTGGTTTAGTCTTAGTTCACAATATTTTATTTTATTTTTGCTTTTTAGGGAATAGTTGTTCTTTCCTACCCATTAACAAAACTCGGAGATGGGACAGACTTTTTCAAGATTGTTCTTCAAGGTACTAAATTTAAGTATACATTTTAAATTTATGGTTTTACATCAATAGCACCTGCTCTTGTGTTCAGTAAAATGTTATATTTAAAATGTTTTCTGAAAGTGTTTTTTTCCTACAAAAAAACTTATCTTAAACTTAGCCAAGTAAATTAATGGAAACAATGCAGTCTTTATATTTTAGTAGACTTCTTGTTGCATAATCTTTTAAAACACTGTCCTGGAAATGTATTAGCTATGTATGCAGCTTTAGTTGTGTATTTTCAAACTGCTTATCATAAAGGACTGAGAAAATTGCACATGTAATAGTTAGCACACAATATACATAACATATACTGTGTAAGTGAATGTTTAATATAGGTCAGTGTGTTGATTAGCAGCAAAATAGTTGTGTTTCATTCTGTTTTAATATAAACAGGTAAAAAAATTGAATTTCACCTGATTAGTCAAGTATTTGAATATCAGTAGATATACTAGCACCTTGAAAGATCTAAGTTGTTCATCATGTAATAAATATAGTAAAAATAATATGTTCCTTTTAAGTCTAAAGCTCATACCCACTCCAACCAGGAAGGTGGAGAGTGTCATTTCTCAGGTGTCTGTTGGATTCAAGGAACTTCACATTTCCTGCCTTTTCATACTCAACTTATTCCTTACAGTGGTTAGAAAATCATCAGTTGCTCCCTCTGAGTCTCCTGATTCCTGTGACTGAGCATCAGGCTCAGGTCTGCCTGGGTGTGCAGATCCTGCCTGGTGATACTGCTTGTGACCTGTGTTAGCAGAGGTGAATGAAGCTGATGGGACCCGAGTCCCTGCTGGCTTCACGGTTCTCTGAGGGTTGCTAAACCTCCCTGAATGTTGCTAATTTCACGTGACTGTTCAGGAGGGGGGGAGGAGTTTCTGCACATACTCCACAACCTGGAAATATAAGTTTGCACATCTAAATCGTTAAGGTTGTTTCTGAAACAGTGAAAGGTAGAAAACTCTTTAAAGTAACAACGTAATTTCTGCTTCAGTCCTTCTGGAAGGCTATTAATTGATATGTCAGAGTCCTGGAATATCTTCAGTTTGTAAGTTCTGCAATAGGGTCTGTTTTAATGTGAAAAATCAAATGTGACTGAGTAGTATTTTCTCTCTAACAATATACATTCAATCGTCCAAGTGGAAATCTTTGTCATTTGTATGTAATGTGCACTAGTGTACAACATGTGCACATTTTAAATGGTCCTCTTATGAAAACTATTCTGAGCAATATACCTATAGTTATCACATAAAAGCAGTTTTATAACTATTTGAAAAGATTTTCTTTTGTAGATTAATTGAAATGAAAAAGTGTTAGACTCTGTAGATTAACTTGTTTCCCATTGCTGTTTTGTTTTGGAGAAGGTATGGTGATTAAAATCATTTCTGTTTTTTTCACTCTAGGTTTGGATGACTTGTGTTCCCGGATCAACAGCATCAATATTTTAATATATGGAAAAATGGCAGAGGATTGTGCGAAAGTTATACACCATGGGGTAACAATAACCAAAAAAACCCATATTATTGTTTTAGGAATTGTTTTTCACAACTTTATGTTGACATCTTGTCATTGTCTGTCTGTCACTAAAATTAGAAATAGTCTGTTCAGTCCCTTGAAATCTATAAATATGAACTAGGAAAAAAAATTTGCTTATGAAAATTTTTTCTAATATTGAAATAAGCAAGTCTTTTTGTCCGTGCCGTTTACCTAACACGTAAAGGATCATGAATACAGATAATAGGGAAGTCATCCATTTATATTTGTATTTTGAAAGTTTTACCATTTGATAAGATAGATTTTAGAATTTAAGTGATTTAAAAGACAATTACACTGAAGCCTTTTTTTTTTTTAGAAAAAAGAAATAAATTCAAAACTATGCATACAGTTTTCTTCATTGGCTGGGTGCTGGTGTTGTGCTTTGTTGGGAATAAAAGCTTGGTTTGATTAGCTCCAGGATAAAGGACTTCACACTAAATCATAGAGTAGTTTGGGCTGGAAGGCACCTTTAAAGATCATCCAGTTGCAACCCCCCCTGCCATAGGCAGGGACATCTTTCACTACACTGGATTGCTTCAAAGCCCCATCCAACCTAATTTTGAACACTTCCAATGATGGGACATCCACAACTTCTCTGGACAAATTGCAGTCTATACAGATTTCTCAGTTCTACGGAATTTTGGCAGTGAAGCCAGGAAGGGAGGTTCCTGAACTAATTTGCTAAACATACAAGCTGCAGAATCTTTTTACATTCAAAGAACAAATCAGTTTTGTCCCGATTAAAAATACAAATCTTGAACAAGGCACTAACCAGCAGTTAGAAGATAAAAAGATCAGTGCTAAAGAGCTGAGTAGGAAACCACAACCCACAGGCAACACCCCTTAGATAGCCAGAGTGCACTAAAAACAGAGTTTGTTCTTCCACAGTGAACTGAACCTTCATGGTGCTTTCCGCATGTCTCAAATGATCTTTTAAATTTGGAAGAACCTGAACATGAGGAAACAATGATTTCTGAAACTAGCAGAGTTGCAGTTCAGCAATTATGGACTAGATTTAATTTTAAAACACTACCAGTTTTTAACTGTTAAAGAGTTACTTTAGAGAAGTCCAGTACTTTCTGTTATTTGCTTGCAATTTCAAATTTTAGTGGTTTGTAATTTCCATATTGTTCTTGGCATACTGTAACAACTTTAGCTAAGTAGCCTAGCAGGAGGAGCAGGCTATTTCCAAGAATGTGAATAACCATGCTGTCTCCTGAGAGTCTTCTCATTCTGTAACAGAATAACCATCAGGGAAAATATTGTCCTTCCTGTATTTCATGCTTTTTGAATGAGGGAAGTAGGATTTCTTTTTGCTGTTTAAAGATTTTGGTTGAATCTGATAGTTTACCTATATATGTATTGTAATACTCTTCTGTTGAAAATCCACCAATTTATGTAAATACCTTTGATTCCCAAGCCAGTTGTGAGAACTTCTTAGCTAAAGATGAAATGCAAACTAATTGATATTGTAAACTAAAATACAGCATTAAATTTCAAAGCACTATGCAATATTACAAAAATTTTTTACACGTTTAGAAACTGTAAGTCACAATCTGTTAAAACTGACTGTGAATTTGTAACAAATCTGAGAACATACCTGTTCTTTCTCCTAGTATAACTAGATTTTGAGGTTTGTGCTGTAATCAGTAGTGATTAATTCACAAAAAAGTTTCCATTTGTTATCAGCCTGTATACAGGCTGAGTCTATGTAATTCTGAAGTTCCTTCTGCCACAGGAGAACAGGACAAGTCAAGTCAACTGTACAGAACTTCACTCCTGACTCAGCAACCAAGTCCCAGAATCATGTGCAGCCTACAATCTAATAAAATGCTGAAGTGGGAATAATAGCAAGGCATAGCTTTTTAGCTGAAGGCTGATTTTACTGTTGAAGGAACATACTGAGTAGCATCAGCAACAGTGAAAGGAAAGACACATACAAAAGAGTTTCCTGAAGCTTGCGTTTGTGTGGTTTTGTATCTGGAAAGAATGAAAAAACTTTCATATATGTTAGTCGGGTGGTGTCTTCAGAGATTCAAGGCATACTGAGTTATGGAATTGTTTTGACACATTTTAACTTAGCTCTGAGTGTAGCTTACTTCTAGGTGACTTCCTAGTACTTTTTAGACAAAATATACATTGTATTCCCATTTATGATGCTACCTAAAAATCACCATACCCTACGTAGTGTCATTGTGTATTAAACTGTCTGATTAAGCTTACATTTTCTGCAGACATTTTTTCCCCTATGTTTTAATAACTAAATACATCACTGTCACTTGATCTAGCAGCCTTTCTTTTTCTTGCATGAAGCATTAAGGTTTTGGATCTTAAATCATTTAGAGTAGCATTGTCAGATTGCTGAAATAGCAAAAAAAGAACCGTCATAGGACAGTATTTGGCTAAAACTGTCAACTTTAATCAAAAAGCACTTTTATTTGTTGTAATCAAATAAACACATGAACAAAAGTAATTCAGTAAAAGTTTATGGAAGTGCTTTTGGTAGAAGCTTGAATAGAAATAGAATCCAAGTCTAATATGTTTATCAGAGTGGATCACACTGGTACAGACCTGCTGTACAGTTCTTATAGCAAGGAAGCTGACTATAAAGGAATTTTGCATTGTATCAGATACCTTTCTTTAATCACATCTGATTTCCTAAATGTATTTTATGTATTTTCTATCTTCTCCTACTTTTTCTTTTTTATTTGGTGAGGCTGCTGCTAAAATCGTGAGTTGCTGCTGGGACTTGAATCATGTGCCTTTTAAATCCTCCTTTTCTTGTTCACTTTGTGGTGTCTGAGGAACTTTATACTGAAGTGAAAGTGCAGTTATAATTGCTTGATGTACCAGAATCTCAGAAGTTATGCCAGATAAGTTTATAATGTCTCTTTTGCTACCAGAAACCTACCTATTGATTGACCCATGTATTTGACCCTTAAAGAAGAAATTGGAAGATGTTGGTCCAAACAAAACAGAAAATATTTACAAGGAGAGTTTTTTCAAAGGGCAGCTGTAACTCAGTGAGAAAGAAGCTCCAAGAAAAGAGGGTTTTGTCACTGCTGATTCAATGTGTGATTTCTTTTCTACCTTAGTTAAGCTTAAACAGAAAGGAGTCAGTCTTCAGTGTATTCAAAGAGAAATGATTCTTTTGCTTTATTCAGTTTGAATCTTCCCCTCTAGACCTTGTCAGAAATAGCACTCAGTCACAGTAGCATCAAGAGTGCAAAAATTTTAGCAGAATTTGAAAAGAAAAAAGCTTGCTGACATTGGTTGGAAATATAAATTCCATGGGTAGAAGAACCAAATTAGTTTTTACAATTTGTTTGGTATTTTTGTTTCTTCAGTGTCTTGAGAGTTTAGGGTGAAATTTCACATCACATACATTTAAAATAGAGCACATGATACAGTCTGTGTAATTTTCTGTATATTATCCTGTCCCCATAGGACACCTTCATAGTTGCAGGATTTAAGGTGATAAAATCGCCTACAGCGAGAGAGGATGGCAGACATGGTTGTCACCTGGAGGTGTCTGAAGAAGACGGATCAACCATTTACGTACGTTGGTACCCAGTTTTTTTTCTTTTACCTCCCCCTCCCCAAAATACTAACGTGAACATTTTGCTCTATAGTAGAAAAAACATAAAATCTATTAGAAACTAAAGTGCTACAGATCATTTTACCTTGTTCATCAGGAAACAGTCAAGAAACATTTGTGTGTGTGTGTGTGTGTGCATGCGTGTGTGCATACAGTTTTATAACAACACTAACCAAATTATTTCCCACTCAACTACTTGTTGAGTGCAGAAATTTGGCTTTAGTTGGCTTTAGATAGATTCCCTAGAGCTGCTTAAATCACTGTTGGGCATAACACATTTCAGTAATGCAGACAAGGTAGAGGGTGCAAGAGTGGTTTCAGGTCTGTAATTTTTAGTTTTCTCAGGACTATGGGTTTGTACTGCTTTGCCTCACATCATTAATTGTTGCCTTTGAAATACATGAATTCCTAAATTCTAAATTCCTAAATTTTAAATTCTAAATCTGAGTAAAAGATTCATTCTTTTGTACTATTCTCACATTATTGATGTTCATTTTTATCTGTATAGTTGTTGTCTAATTAAATTTTAAGAAATTTTTTTTTTTTGTATTTCAGAAAGGCATTTTTATTTCAGAATTTACCTCTGTAGGAAATTAAAGCTTGGCACACAGCTCAGTTAGAAACTAAATGATTTAAAATGGTAGTGCAGACTGTTTCATGAAATTATTTGTTGATAGTGATGAAACATAGGTAAAAAGATAGCAAAACTGTGACCTGAATCTGAACAGGTATATCTAGACTAAAAGTACCTAAATTTTAGGAAATACAGGAGGCATTCGATTGAGCAAGACCCCAGGACATACAGTCTAATCCCAGGGACTATGAGCCACTCTCTGAATGCCTGGGTTGTGCTGAGGAGATGTCTGTCTCATCATTGACCACAGAATGGAGCTTGTGGCACTTAATTTACTGACACACTTGTTGGATGCTTAACATTAATACCAACGATCAGACTTTTTGTGTGCTTCACTTTCTCAGTTGTGAATTTTCCCTCACCTGTTTAAAACAAAAAAAATGAAAGTAAAATTAGTTTCAGGAATGCAGCTGAGGATGGAGAGCAAAACCTCCCTAGTAGGAGTTTGCACTGCTGGGGCAGTGCACAGCTGAGACATGGGACCCTGTGTCCAGCAGACAGGTTGTGGTGTAGCGTCGGGATGGCAGCTGAGCCCTGTGTTTCTCAGTGAGTGAGTTTGTCAAGTCGCCAGGATTAGTTCTTTAAAAGACCTTACACTGACCATAAATCTGGCTTATAAGTATGGCTTGAAAAGCTTAGAAACTATCTTTAAATAGAATTTATCCCATTCTGATGAATTTGCTTTGCCTTTTTTTTTTTATTATTTTATTTTCCCCGAAAGGAGAGATCTGCTCTAAGCACTGACATGTACAAAACTTAAACCCATTTACATTCTGTGTTAAGCAAGTACAGTTTTAAATTTGTGGCCTACAACTTGCAAATGCTATTCTGCTAATGTGACCTAACTTATATTCAACTCATACAATGTATGTATTATTTTGAAGTACCTTTTGTCTACTGCTGTAACAGCAGTAAATATTTTTTTCTTCTGTGGATAAAATTTTACTAGATTCAGAGGTGATTCATATGTCAAAGTTGTCTATAGGGCTGTTTTGCATTTGCTTATAGTGTTATATTTGCTTTAGAGTTATCAAATGTTGTTATATTTGCAGTGCCTTCAATTTTGTAATCAGATTTACACTAAACCAAGAACAGCTACTGCTTCAGAAACTGCATTTGTGGTGAGTTTATATTTGGGATGTTTTTAAATCAAATGAGACTAACTATGTAAATAAGAATGTGTGGAATTCATTTTTGTTCCTGTTTAATTTACTTCCATGCTCTTATCCCTGCAGTCACTTCTTTTGCTTTTAATTTTGCAAATAATATACCTGGAACACAAAATAAAATATGAAAAGGTAGTACATTTTCTGTACTTGAGTTCCCATCTCAATCTCAAAACAGACTGCATGTTGGTAACTATTGTTCTAAATAAGACTGTATGCTTGTGCTTTTAAAAAAGGAAATAAGGATCTTCCTTTGATTTAAAATCAGACTTCAGGTACTGATCTTAAAATTTGTTTTGATTACTTTTTGGAACAAGCCTTTGTGTGTCTAAATTAAAATTCTACAGGAAATAGTATATTAAAGGCATAGAAATTGGTTTATGAAATTTTTTTGGTCCTTATCATGACGTTAAAGATTCAGTACTAATGATGATACAGCTTGTTTTCAATGTTAACTTTTTTAAGAGTTGCATTTTTTTCCCTCGGTATAGTAGTTGAAAACCATAGTTATCAATCACTTTGACAGAACTCATATTCTTTAAAAGAGCCTAACCAGCATGTATTACAACCTTAAGACAGAGGAGAATAGTCCTTTAACAGTCGAAACTAGTCCTTAATGTCTTTAATTCTCCAACAATTATGCTATTTTAATTGGAAGATATGCACAGTGGCTGTGAGAGGTAAACCCTCTCCCAGCCCAAGACAATGATTCTGTGCGGTGATGCTGCTGATAAGAAATACAAAATTATTTATGTATGTGCTTTAAAAAGCCTTTTCAATGGACGTGTTAAAATGGATCAGTAAAAGATTGTCTTTTATTGTTCTTTGTTATAATGACTTTTACTCACCTGGTTCATATATTGAAACTTACTTGAACTAACTGATTGATTGATTGTAAGGAAGGTGCAATCACAAAAAGAAATTAAATGTCTTATGTGTTTTCTGAATCTAAAGTGAATAAATATAAAGAAAAGGTAATATTTTTTTAAGACATGTCTGAGGATGAATGATGTTAAAAGACAAAATTCTGTGTGAATGTTTGAATAATTTTTCTTCTGTTTCCTCATTTTCTCACACTTTTCCAGTCTATTGCTCCAAAATATGTGTATACTCCCCTGAATCAACTTAAAGATGGAACTATAGTGAATTTGTATGGCGTTGTGAAATTCTTCAAGCCTCCATATGTTAGCAAAGGCACTGGTATGTACTATATTCAAGAGATTTTAAATCTCTTACTATGTTCATTAAAATACAACCAGAACAACAAATCCACATAATTTTTTGACCATGGTTCTCAGCTAATATCAAGGAAACAGAACGACAGATAGTTAAGAGATATCAGAGTCAGTTTAGGCCCAGTGGTGGAGATAGCAAATGAAGAAAGTATTAAGCTAGTACTATCAGAGCAAAACAGGGAAAAGGACCTGTACAAAAAAAAAAAAAAAAAATTACAAAAGTCCTGCACCTGTCCTTGTGGGAAAGGATTCTTGTGTAGCTGTGTGCAATTTTTCCTCGAGGTTTTGACAAGAAGTGTTGTGATGTGCTACAAATATAGCAGTATATTCTTTACGTGTGAAGTTCTGGAATAACTGAATATTTTTTTCCTGTTAGGTGAACACATTACTTATTGTGCTAGATTTGCTAGAAGATTGTGCCCTTTTACTAGGTGCTCAGTAAGTACACAGCTAGGTGACATCACTGCTGAATTTGGATAAGCAGTAGAATTTCGTACTTAATTCAGAATTAATCAAAATATTTTCTGCTTATTATAAAGTTACTGTGCATTTTGAAGTTGTTTTTTTTCCCCCTTATAAATGTAATTCTAATAAAACAAACAAAAAAACAGATTATGATGGTGATTTTTGATTTTTATGATTTTAATTACACATGCAGGTCTCTTAAATAATGTCACTAGCCGTGAATTTAGCTTCTAAATACAGAAATTTTAGAACTGAGAACCAAGAGTTGGTGGTTTGTCTGCAAAGCCTTTTGCGAACAGATCTGTTTGATCTTGCTCAAAACCTTCCAGCAACAGTCTGAAGGTGCTCAAGGCAGAGAGAGCACAATGCTTGCTCCACCTGCAGTGGAGGTTTGCTTACAGTTAGGTAGCTTAAAACAGCTAAAAGCTGCACAAACATGGTGGCACACGTGACAAAAGTTCCAGTCCCAGCTAAGGTTCAACTAATGGCTTCACTTTTTGAAGACCAAGCAATCTTCAGCCTTATTTTGAATTAGTGTTTGAGTGGGGGGAACATCTGGGGAGTCTGTGCAGATTTGTGTCTGACAGCTTCAGTATGTTCAGCTGAACTATACTGGTATACTCTGTGCTGTGGGCATGCTTAATTACTTCCTTTTGGGGCATATAGTATTCTTCTAGTTAAACAGATATACTGGTATGAAAGACCTTATTGACAGGAAGTTCTTACTCCCACTTGTAGGTGAAGTGTGGCTTTACTGTACTTGTAACTGCAGTTTGGTCCAGCACTTGTTCACAGAAAAGACCAGGATGTGCATATGCTGGTCCCTGGGCCATTGTTCAGCAAGTGTCAGCTGCAGTGAAGGCAGTCAGCAGCCATTTTTAAGTTATGCAGAGCAGTATAGGATTTTTCAAGAATATATTAGATTAACTGAATAACTTTGGGGAACTCATCAGCATTTTTGCATAGTGTTGACTGTGTCAACAGAAGAAACAATGTATGGACAGCACTAGGGCCCAGTGCCCTACTCTCTGCAGGACAGCAGTGTTGTGCTTCCCATACAGTTAGTTGTGGAAATGTATTCCAATTACTGTTTCTTATAGCAGTTGGCATGGCTTACTCCTAGGAAACCTTTTGCTCCACATTCTTACACAATGCTGCGAAGGCAGTAATGTTCCGCAAAATAACTCTGAAACATAAAAAACCCCAAGTCTGAAGAATATGGGATAATCAAATTTAAACGTTAACATTTAAAAATAGATGTAGTCATTAAGTTGGGAACTGAGCCAGTAATGGTCCATCTCTTTTTATAGCAAATATAGTGTGTGTTTGGTTTTCTCCTTGTGAGACTGTTCAACTATTATCGTATTCTACGTAGTCATTGAAAACATTAAAGTTATAAATTGCATTTTTTAAGATGAAATATTATTTTGATTGGTTTATATAGAAAAAAAGCAAATGATAGTTGTTAGAGAAAGGTATGGAAAAGATAGATGTCACAGTTCAGAAAATAGTTGGTGTTTGATAATACTGTAGCCCAGTAAAAGCAGAGAAGTACAAATTCCAGTTGTTTTACATTAAGAAAGTTACAACACAACAGATATTCCTAGATGTAAATGGGAAGTAATGGTAAGTGAAAGTACCTTCTCAAAGCATTTAGACTTAGAAAACACAAAATTTGTTCTGACATCTAAATAGAAATGCAAATATTCATAAGATACTAAATTAAGTCTGTGCATGTTGGCTGTGAATATAGCAAATGTTTTAGCTGCAGTTAATATTTAAATATGAATATAAATACAATGATAACACAGTCTTTATGCTTTTTCAAACAGAAGGACCAAATTTAAAAATTAACAAAACATTTTATTTATGTGTGAATCTTACCACTGATACTCCTTTCTGCTTGATGTGCCATTAATCTGTAAAATACTTCATTGTCAAGGTACAAGTATAATCTTGACCCGTACAGAGCAGAGAACAGTCATCTGGTATTTAGGGTTGATAGATCTGTTTTGCACAAGCTGCCAAACAGCATCTGTCTGTCACTGTAGCAAGCTTCTCAAAATCTTAATTTTGTGGTGGTGTCTGGTAAGCGCTTTATCTGTAATAATCAAGGATATTAGCAGTGATGAATGGAGGCTCTTTCCCCTTGAAAAATATTGTAGGTTTAAGACTCAGACTTAAAAGCAAATAAACAGGCAAAACAAACCCTACAAAATCTTTTAAAGGTTTTATTTCCTTTTTTCACATTACTGACATCAAAAAGAGTAAGGGAATTAATCAAATATAGAAAGTACTATTTATACTTTCTGAGTAAATCATGGAAGGGCAATTCTTAAAGGATCACATGGTTGAGATTTGTCATTTGTCTGCAAGACTTCAGAGAAATGAGGACTTTGAACATCCTGAAGACGAGCACTGGTTGCTGGAAGTCAGAAGGACAGCCATTTTTTCCGGATATATAACAACAATGAAGTTAAATGCACTGACTTTCCAGACAGCATGTCTCTGAAACAGCTAGGACAGATTTTTGCGAGTGAGTTAAAGTTACTCACTTCGATTTCATAAGCAGTAGAAACTTAATAGGGAAAATCATTATTTATTTAACTGCTCCTTCTTACATATATTAAGACTGAAGCTTTGCACCATGTTCTCACAAAGTGGGTACCACTGGAGTGGTACCTAGTGGTACCTAGTTTAGCTTTGTTAGTTTATATAATCTATAATTAAATATTCATCATTTCTATTAACAATTTTGCATTAGATGAATATTAAAACACTGATGAAGAAATGAATTTTCAGTATGAGCATAAATCGTTTATTCCAGAGAAAGTTGTTTTAATAAGCGTGCTTCAGCTCAAGACATGTAGTTTGAAATGTCTGTATATGAGAACTTTGTGTTCTGAAAACTGTCCGAGGAAGTACTTCCAGTCCTGCTTGGTACAACAGGCAGGTGGGATTTTGTCTGCTAGATCTGTTGCGAGTGTTCGAAACTATATTCTAACTTTTTTTCTCCAACAGTTTAAGAGTCTTAAGATACTTTAAATTTTTAACAAAGGTGATTTTCTCCTCTCTCCTCTTCCTTAATCCTAAGGACATCTCAAGTATTTAACCTTGAGATTTACTGTAAAAACAGTCCATATAGGAGAAAAAGAGCTTCTGTCTTTGTAGTGTCCAATTACAGAGATTATGTACTTGACCATGAAAGTTTTAGGACATTACAATATGACATTACTGCTTCCCCAACTCTTTGTTTCATGTAGATATTTGTTAGTGTTTTCCATAATGCAAGGAAGAAGTATAGCAAGAATAATCCTTGCTACTGGTTAACACTAAGTCATAGAAGTAAATGTCCTGTTTTCATGGGGAAACCTCTATGTAGCTTATTCTCTTAGATACATACAGTATATTCATATGTCACATGTTGAATTAAAATCTCATTTTATCCTACCTAGACATGCATTTGGATTGTAACTATTTTATTTTTATGAAATATTTCTTAGAATCAAAATCAGTAAAGGGTAGCATTTTCAGAAAACTCACTTCTAAAAAGCTTGAACGCTTCCAGGTCAGCATTCTACATGCTCAAAATGCAGCTTAAGAACCATAAGTCAGATTTTTAAGTGTATTTTGAAACCCTACTTTTTTATTTTCAATTTTTTATTTGATCTTGTGCCAAGTTCACCAACATTTTTAGGCTAGAATTTGCTTAAAACTATGTAACTGAAAGAATTTACTGAACTGTACCAGTTGGTCCACTTCAATTAAAATAGCTTTTAATAAGTAATAGCAAACCAGCTTTAGAATGCAACCCAAAATCTACAGTAGTTTTTCCTTCAAAGTATTACATTCCATTGTGGTTTTTTCCAAATTAAAATGTTGAGCATTTATTTAAATTTTGCAGAATGGAATAAAAACTGTTGCAGAGGTAAAGATAGCGATTTCATTTCTCGACCCCTAGAGGTTAATGTTCTGTTCCCTTTTATTCACAGTGGTTTGTATGCATTTCTTTTTTAAATAACCACTGGTTTTTATTATATAATATAAAAGATTAAAAAAATTAAAGGAAATGAGAAAATAATTAAACAATTGAATAAATAGTTAATAGAAATCTCAAGACAATCTCAAGTTACTTAGATCTACAATTTACAAATGATGGCATTAAAGCAGATGCTTAACAGATGTTAAGCCAGATGTTTCTGGTAGTTACTGAATTTTTGTATTTCTAAAGGGTATCACCATGGTAGAAGTAACAAGCTCTAGTTAAATATCTTCTGTTTGGTTCTTTAGAGGTTTAGTTTTGGGCTTCTGCAGTATATATTTGTATATAAATAAATATGCATATGCATAGGAGTGTGCGTATATTTATATTACTTCTTGTCTTGATGAGTGTAAATTGAGGGTAAATTAGCTGGTTCAGCTGCTTGGTGTTAGTACAGATATTTGTATATTGAATTATGAAGAGGGAATTTGCTACAAAAATTTCTGTCTTTTTTGTCTGTATTGAAATATAAGAAACAGAAGGCAATCTTTAGAGTCCCTAATTGCCAATGACCTTGCCAAAAATCCTTTTTATATCTCTGCAGTGGAAGTTAACAAGTTCAGGACAGTGGGTTTTCCACTTAAATATTATTCAAGAATACATATGTCATTGCCCAGAAGGGGATTTGTAATGTGATCAGTGCTTTCCCCCTTAAGAATAAATACAACCATATTTGTTAGGAACTGCTGAAGTCCTCAGTAAAACTAAAATAAATGTTTAATCAGTAAGTACTAACCAACTTGTTAGTCCTACAACATAAGTAACTACTAATATGGAAAGCAATTCTGATTTTCTCAGGATGACCAAAAAATAAATTTTTATGTGAAGCTGTGGGGTTTGGGATTTTTATATGTTTGTTGGTTTGTATGTATCTGTACACTGTGGAGAGATGCTGACTTTCTGAGCATGCTGATGACTGATGTAACACTCAGTGCATTTATGAAAGGAAAGCTATAACCTGAAGAATGACCCTGAACTGTCATGGTAGTGGAGGAAACTTTAGCTTTTCAATGGTTATTACAGGGCACCAAAACATTTGCATTTCAAACTATTTAAAGTCAGAACCTAAAGGCTTGTGAAATCAACATTCTCCATGCACATAGTGTAACCTTCTACTGATCAGCAAATAGTTGTGGATTTTTTATGAGATTAAATAAAAAACTAATTAACAACTTAAAGCAATTGTTTTCTTAAAGAACAGTAAGGACTGGTCTGAAAGGATATAAAAAACATGTGAAACAGATGCATCACTGTACTTTCATTTAAACCAAACATTGCTTATCTCTCCTTGTTTTTGTAAAAACCAACTCTGGGGTGCTACGAGTAGCATCCTTACAGATAGCTGTCCATAGCTGGTGGTTCCTCACATGATGATAAGCCTGAGTGAGAATACCACTTCATAACAATTAAGTATATTAAAAAAATAGGGTTTCAGTTTGGAGTTCTCTGTAGTGTCAGCTGAAATCTGGTGCTTTTACTGAGTCAGTCTAGTATGAAAGTAAAAAGCTTTCTTTTATAGTATATAAATTTACTGAACTGTGCATTTGTTGTGTCATATTTTTAAGACAGATTATTACAAGTAAAATGTGTCAGTGGTAAAATTTTCTTTTTAAAGAAAAGTTAATCAGTGGAGTAAATTTCTGTAGTAAAGGAAAATTGACTCCAATATTTAAAGTTCCATTTATTTATTTATTTATTAGCTTGGTAACTAAGGAATTTTGCGTTGTTAGAAAGTGTGTTGAGAAAAATCAAAAGTTGGACCAATGACATTTACTGTATTGCTTTGTTTAACACTGGGACATTATTTAAATTCAACAGTTCTGTTTAGAGTTTGAATCATTTTTTTCAAAAAAATGAATTCGGTCACTGAACTATAATGATGCTGTGGAAAACAAAATAATTTTTACGTTTTAGCTGGAGAAGAAAAGAAGGTGGATTTTTATTTTTAACCTTCAAAAACGACTTGCTGGATGAAGATTTCATTAAAAGAAAATCAGTCTTTATGCTTTGTTCTCAAATACCTCTACTGTAATTAGGTTTACTGTAGAAGTGATGTTTTGAGGTGATGATTAGGAATGGAAGACTAAAGTCACAGAGAATCTGTGTTATGTAGATGATGTTTCTAGATACATAAAGCATGTGTAATATTTTATACTGCTTTGACTAGGATGATCAGTCTTATATGAGTGTGCTAATTGTGCAGAAAATTGAGGCAGTGTGTTAACTTCTGCTATTAAATAGGCAGTTGCACATGTGTGAAGCTGACTAGGTTCTATAATCACAGCATCAGAGAGTAACCACCATTTTAATGTGGAGTATTTTTGGTATTTCACTCTTGATTCCAATGTTGGAGTCTTATCAGTGCACTGTAGCATGTTACCCTGTATCCTCAAAGGGTTGTAATTCTATGAAACATAGATGTTTCTTTTTAATTGCTCATTTTGCTTGTATTTGCAGCTGACCTGTTAAGTTAACCTCTAGAATTCATACCCAAAGAAATACAACAATCCGTCTTAAATACTGGCAGTTTTGTCAGTCTGTGACTGGACTTTATTTATGACATTCCTAGCACAGAACGTCAAAATAGGCTCTATGTGGCACTGTACCTTCTACCTTTGGCTAGAGTGTGCAAAAGAGTGATGCTTAGCAGCTTCTGAGTGCAGTAGATGGTAATTTATCATTATTGAGTCTGTGTAAAAATCTCGGGGAAGAAGAAGAGTAGTAGTTTTGTAGAAATATTGGAAGTTTTTATATCTGTAGGAAAAGTAGTTTTATTTCTGGTAAGCCTTCACTGGATTTCTTTCAGCACTTGATTCACTCAAATCATTAGGGAATTTATACTTTTAAGTTTAATGATTGTAAAATTTAAGGGTGTATGTGCTGGAAATGGAAGAATATTTCTCTTGAAGGCATGAGCAGTGTACATGCAAGCAGGTATTTTAATCCAGTCTAACATATCTGTCTTCATATTTGGGGAATCTTTTCACAGAGTTTACATATGACAATTGTTGTCTTTTGACTGCCTTCCTGTACCTTTTATATATAAGGCAAATCTGTCAGTTTTAGTGGACTGATAGCATTCTCTTTCAAAGCAGTCTAGCAACAAAGCAGTCTAGCAAAAAGATGTCTGCATCTTTTAAAAATGCATGATGGAGCTTTTATTGACTTTGTTTTAGAACTGTGACACCTTCGTTCAGTTCCCAGATATGTAAACTCTGGTTTACTGTTATCACTAACGACCTCATAGAATTATAGCTAAAGGAAGGTGGGGGTTTCGATCATTTGCATTTTTTTACTTTTCTCTTTGGGTTTTTATTTTTGAGAGATGAAAAGGTGTCTGTCAGGGCAAAACAGATTTGACTTGAGGAATTTAATTCATTGCCGGTTAACATAAACATTTAATAACTTATTCAGAAATTGAGAAACAAAGAGAAACATTTGAACACTTAGGGAAAACACCTTTCCTCCACCTCTCCCAGGCTCAACTTCACTCCAGACACTGCTCCCCCCTCCTAGTCTCTACTCCCCTTGCTGTGGTTGCAGGTTACTGTGTCTCTTGGAGGGACAATGGGTGATGCAGGAGATTGGGGTCAGTACATAGCACTCTTCAGGCAGGTGAAACAGCTACTATGTTGTGAAAGAGCAAGTGTGCTTTGACTCTGCTTTTATAAACTGAAATGGAAAATACAGATTTCATTTATGTCATCTGCAAATACTACTCTATTCTGGGCTGGTTTTGCACTGTCGTATTTGTATCTTTTTTTGATTTTACTTTTAAAGCCATTAACAAAAGTGCAGTTCTATGAAGTTTAACTTCAAAAGGGCATATTTCAGATTTTTGCTCTATTTTCTAACTACTGCTGTGTGACTGTATTCTTGCAGTATATATATATATCTCCTACATATTTTGTTGAAGTGAAAGATATGTAATTTATGTTTTAATTTGCTTTTAGAACTTGTAGAACTCATTACCTCTTCAGAAGGCAGTGCAAAAATAAATCTTAGAAAAGAATTTCATAAGATTGTACGTATACTCCTCATTTATGCTCCATAAAATGGAGAAAGTAATTGAAACTTGAAAGAAAAGCATGCCTGTTGTAGACAGAAGAAAAAGTTTTGTGTATTCCTGGCTCACAGACCTGTGCTTAATCACAAATTTAATTTTCAGATTTTGGGCTAATTATCGGCAAGATGGGCCACACTTCAGTTGTTACGATACTGTAAAAAAATTAACTTTGGAAGAGTTACACAGATCATAGAAGAAAAAAAATTGGCCATATGGGTGCTCATCCCAAATTTAATATCTGTGTGTTAATAATTTCGTAATGCCTGTTACTGATTCAGACATTTTTTCATTTTACAGATTATTGCTCAGTTGTAACACTTGTGGACCCATCAAATGTGAAGTTAACATGCACTCTTTTTAATGGAAATCCAAATTCCCTACCAAAAATTTACAAAATTGGAGATATTGTTCGATTTCATAGAATAAAGGTATGTACTACAATGTTGAGGGTTTATGTACTTGTTTTTCTACAATGACAGGACCATAGGAATAATTTAATTCTATGTGTACTGAAATTAACACTTGGAGATATTGGATAAAGCAGTTGATTGATAAAACAGCTGTGGTTATGGTATGAACCAAAACTGAAAGTAAACTATTTTTTTTTTTTCAACTACTTGACAGAAATCATGTGATGATACTTCTAGATGAACAGAATTTAACTGACATTAATGTGCACAATTTATTCTTCAAACTAATAGGATTAAGGAGTTTATTTAAGGCTTCTGTTGTGGAGCAGTTTAGGTCAGCTGGAGAGTTACTCTGGTAAAAGGAATCTATCTGGTGTTGTTAATGTGCAGAATGCTCGAGCTGCTGCTTCTCTGTTTTCCTGACTTACACCCTATTCATCTGTATCAAAGGTCATGCAGGAAACAGTGTTTATTAGCTTTGATACTGCTTCTGCTGGATGTTTTTCTTACGCCTGCTGCAATTGTATAAGGAAGAGGAACCACACTACAGGGACCAAATAGAAGTCTTGTAATGTTGGACCGTACTTACAGAGGTGCAGAACAGGACCAAAAACATGATTTTACCATGTTGCATATTAATTTGCAACAAAACCATACATAACTATATACTTTCTTTTAATGTAAAATAATTGTAGCAGAAGTGAATAAATGTCATGAAAGAGGCCAGTGGAAAAAAATAGTTTGCATATTTGAACACTCTTGAGATATCTAGGAAGTTTAAGATTTTACAAAAGGATGATAAAAGGGATAAAGATCCGTAGTACTTTTTGTACGTATGTACATTTTGATATGCTGTAGCAGGAGAACAAAGAAGAAAACCCCATGACAAAAAATGTAAAAAGTGGTAAGATTTATCCAGTGTTTGAGTTTTGTACCACTGAGATTATTAAGAAAGAACTTGTTAAGATTCAGAAACAGTCTTCTGTTATTCATGTATATCATAAATATTTACAATTGAGAGATAAGTTAGCTAGCCTATTCTGGGTTAGTATAAAGCTTTCTTAAGGTTATCTGTATGTATAATTAGAGCAGAATGAGACTGTATTTAGATTTTGAAGCCTTTGTTGTTAATCACTACTTGAGATGTGTTAGTCTTAGAAGTTCATTAATTTTACTTCAGATGGGAAAGTCTTATGCTAAATTTTAATATTTTCTCTGAATCCATCACAGTGAGAGTTACACATATACACTCATTTCTGAAATTCAGTGGAGATAAAAAGTTGTTTATTGCTTCTGAAAACAAAGTACATATTTTATAATACTTAAGTGAAAAAAGAGAAAGTAGAAAGGAGTCTGGTCAAAATAAAAGAATTGAAAAGTTGCATGGGTGTGGTAGGTTAATACTGGATTTTTTTGAGGTATCGGAAGTACCCATTAAAAAACCAAACAAGACCACTGTCAGGGAAGTTATCTATGCACTCTGTTTTATGCAAACATAATATTGTCTCAGTTCCAATATTTTTAACACAAACTTATTTAGGAAACCTACTGATATAGCGTGTGTTAGGAACTTCACCATTCTCTTGATTTGGCATCAGTTTTTTGAGGAGATCATTCTAGAATCCTTGTCAATTGGTACTTCACCATTCTCCAAGATGATGTTCCAGTATTTAGAGTCCATTAATTCCTTCCCCATATACACTTTTTTTCTCATCACAGTTGAGCTGTTGTAAGTTGTTTCCAGTCCTAACAGACATCCAGCTGCTCACAATCCAAGCTGACAGCTGGTTTAATTACTTTCTAAGTTAGAATGATCTAGAGTCACTAAATTGTGAATGGGAATGTTTTGACTACCCCTGACAAACAGGCTAACAAACAGGTACTTTGGAAGTTTTCATATCTAATCTACGCAGGTAGAAATCTGACACAAAAGGCTGGTGCCAACTGCTGGGAATAAACTGGGATGGGGAGGACCTCTTCACCCACAACCAGCATAGTAGGTGTGATTACTGTACAGCAGTTTTCAATTTAAAAAAAAAAAAATCAACTCTGACTGGAGTTCTAATTACACTTCCTCGGGTTCACTCTCCTCTGCTTTTGTCTTCAGACCTTAATTACCTTCTATTCTCAAGAGTAGCAGAGGCCATAGTCCGTCAGAGCTGTGCTTAGCAATGAGGACAGGTAGATATGCATAGTCCTTACAGCATGTAGTTTACATTTCACCTGTCCCAGATATGCTTTTTAGAGACTTCCAAGTTGACATTGATAGCGAACACGTTTTAAAAATTGCTGCTCCCAGTTACACTCTCAGCTACTAACTTGTAGAGGTGTTGCCAAGGTCCAGTGGACAGACCTAATAAGAATTTAATGGAGAGGATTCTTTTGGGTCCCTCTGCATAGAGAACAACTTTATTTGCTCAGTATTTGTTGTGGAGAAGGAAAATTTTAAGTGTGTTAGTAACAGAACTGAAAGATTACCTAGTTTTGATTGCATTACTGTTAATATTTCTTGAAGTACATTTTTATGCATTTCATCTTATTATGATTTCTCATGAATTATAAAATTTAATGATTTGCAGTACTGTACTTGGACCTTCAACCACAGTCAGTGCTCTTCAGAGATTGCTAGGGTGGGGGGACAGACCCCTAAAACACCAGTTTAAAAGCCAGGCCTGAGATCTATTTGTCTTGTATCCTTCTACATTCATGGCAAAAGAGGAGCTTCCTTAGGTGGACTTTTCCTTGGAACTTTTTTGATATGGTTCACTGTGGATACTCTTAATATCTTAGAATTAATACCTAATGGCTATGCTGTTAAAGAGAGGGAAGAGGCACTTCCAATGAAGTGAATTGGTATTTCATTTCCATTTTAATGTTTGAGAATTGGAGAAAAATGAAGTGTGTTTTTATTTATGTGTTCATTTTGTTCAGGGTAATCTAGTTCATTAATACAGTCACTGTCCAGGATGTGTTCTGGTGGTTCTTTTTCCGGAATACACAGCATTGCAGAGCTGTGTGACTCATATGAAACACTTGGAGAATGAAGACCAAGGGAGTGCCCTCATTATAAACTTTACTTGGCATAATGCAATCTCTGTACCAATTACAAAGCCTTAATCCTCTAGCTTTTTGATACTATTGTCTTCTCCTATTTTTGTGCCTTAGCTTCTTCTGTACATAGGCTCCAGTTGCTGTAACAAATGAAGTAGAGTCTTAAAGTTGTCCGCCTGTTACACAGCACTATTTCATGACTGCTGCACTTCTCAAGTCGTGCACTGCATAGGAAAATGTCCTGTAGAAAAATAGGGTAATGGAATGTGATATCATAACATAAATGCACCATGATCTGAGCTGAGTTTGCACAGACATCAGTAACTGTGTCATCTACTAACTTTGGAATAATTATGGACTATAATCTTCTTGTTTTATTTTTGTGGCCAGATTGTAGAATCAGAGAATCAGAATCAGAGAAGGTTGGAAATTACCTCCAAGATCAAGTCCAACCTTTGACTGAATACCACCATGCCCAGTGCAGCATCCTAGATATTTAGACAAACAGCAGGAAAAACAAATTCCTTGCATGCTATCAGTTGCATATTCATCTGATTCAAACTCATTTGATCTACAATATAAATGCATTGCCTCTTTGAACAAAAGGATTTCATAGCCATGATATAGATGTTTATTCCTTCCACAGGTCAGCAGGTTGACAAGTCTAAGACATATGTTTTGCTAGAGAGTTTCTAAGCTGTTTGCCTGTCCACAGAGAAGTGCGAATCTGAATATCAAATATATGGAGTGTGGCTTCATAACAATGTAGAAGTATCACACTCCCTTTTTTGTTATCCTTTCTATTTCTGTTCTGTCTGTCTTCTTGTCCATCACTCTCCTAAACCTCATAATACTTAACATAGCATTCCTTCCACTGTGTTACCTACTTTGATCTTTGAGCCAGTATGCTGGTATTTCCAGGAGCAATCTTACTTCTGTACTTTGCTAGCAGTTTTCCTTGTCTTTGTGTATTCACTCCTTTAGTTTAATCCAATTTGTATGATGAAAGTTGATTTCTTTTCCTTCTTTCTATTTGATACAATATAAAAGGCACTGAAAGACACAGAAGAAGTATTTGCTCACTTCTTATTCCTGGGTAGCTCTGGCCATAGCTGTCAGGTTGATAAGGATCAAAGTCTGAAGCGTAGATATATAACATTAAACTTTGGCAGAATTTAGCTCTCAGACTCTTAGTGTCTTCTGACTAAATGTGGTCCAAATATATAAACTTGGCCAAAGTTAAGTTTGAGACTTTCTGCTAAAAAGGATGTCAAAGAACGTATTGTTGTCTGTTGTACTGCAGCCCTGTTTCTTGCTCTTAAGAGTGGAAGAAATTAAATTTCTTTTTACTAAACAGTAAATTAGATTCTTTTAAATACAGAGAAATCAACATTTTTCTCAGAAATACCAGTATTATTATTGCTTTTGGCTTCCCTTCAAAAATTCTGTAAGGCATGAAACTCTCTTTGAATGGAATTTAAATTAAAAACAAATATTTTTCCTATAATAAATAACATCAGGAAATACTGAATGTAGGCAGTGATAGTTTCTATGTAATTTGAAGTATTAAAAATTTGCACATATGTTTTCTGAAATTTTCATCTCAGCACTTTTGGTCAAGTTACCTGATCATATTTTAAATATGTAGAAAATATTCCAAAATAGTAATTTTTTAGTTTACTAGAATTTTCTTAAATTTACGATGCCACTTTCTCTGAGGAGTATTTCTAAAGCAGTATCACAATGCCGGCTGTTTTCTAAAATTATTGTCAAAATAGTAATTATTTCAACCAGCTTAAGTATATATGCTTTTTGCATACAATTTTTTTCCAAAAATAGTTATATGTTCAGGTGAATTGAATTGAAAAGGTAAATGGAATTGACAATGTTTTGCTCATTTTCTTCTTTAATTTGTATTTCCCTTGCTGCAGATGTTTCTGATAATCTTATTTTGCAGATAGCAATTCTCAGGAATGGTAGAGAATAAGCTATAATTTATGGTCCTAATATCTAGGTGTGTTTATCATGTCTTCATAAAAATTCATTTTATTTCCATGCGACTATCGTTGTTAACTTTCTTTTGCAAGGTGCCTGCAGAGAGTTTTTGTAGTTCAGTTTTCTTCTTTTCATATTTAAACATATTCAAAATGGCTTAATTTATACTTTAAATGGCTTCTCTGTTTCATTATTACCTCTCTGTTCTTATAGCTGGAGTTACAAGTACACCAGGATTACATTATTAAAATATAAGAAAATGTAATCAGTATATTGTATTATGCAAACTTGTTTAGAATATTTACTTAAGATGAGAAAACATTTGCAAATAAACAAAATATACCAAATGCATTTTGGTGGGGTTTTTTTGACAGGAAATTTTTTGTCATACAAACATCAGTGACAATCATAAAAAAAATCTTCCTTCTTAGTATAAAAACGTGTACGTTATCTTAGTGTATGTTGTTTTTTGATATTCTGAGATGATCTGTGACTGCAGTGGTTTTATAATAGTCCTTTGCTTCTACAATTTAACAGTTTTGATAGAAAACTACCTTGGAGATGCTATTATTCCAGCTTTATACACAATCTACTATCACACTTTTCCATTTAGTGAGATGAATAACACCAGCTTCGGTTAAAAAAAAAATCAGGTGTTTTAGGTTGCTCTAAATCTATTTATAACTATTTCAAGATTAGCTTCTTGATAGAGTTGTACCCCGTAGAAATCATTAGAGTTAATTGTCTGTACAGTTTGTTAGGGTGACATTTCACCTATTGTTCTTTAGTTTACAGAAACTATGGCAAAGACTCCTTCAATATGTATTGGAATTCACTTGTTTGCTTAGAACAAGCCAAATGCATTTTATCTGCTCCATTTTTGTCCTAGAGGATATTTTTATTTAGCAACCATTATTTATTAAAAGTATTTAAAATTCTCAAGAATTTTTAAAGTGATAGCCATCTGCCTCACTTCCCTGTTTTTCCCACGCACACACTCCCCCCACCAATTAAAAAAAAATATCCCCAAGGCCTCTAGAAATGACAGAAAATCTACTGAAGGGGAATTGTTGTCATATACAAAAGTCCGAGGTTGGCTCTTTTCCGTAAGTTTAATTCAATTTCAGAATCTCTTTTGTGGAAAATATAACACGTGTACAGAATCATTGCTTAACTTGATCTGAGATCTGCTTAAGAATGCCATAATGGAATAACATTTTCCCATGGATTTTATTCGTTTTACACTCCAGTGATCCCTCATCACTTTAGCAATGATTTGTTTTTAAAGGACAAGTCTGGAGAATTTCTGCTGACCATCATCTGTTCTATGGGTCTGACATAAGTAATTTTCCAGCTATGAAATTCTTTTTTCTGTAACCCATTCTACAGTTACTTCTTCTGTTTCCTCTGTTGGTCACTAAATAATATTGTTGACTTCTGTTTATCTTTGAGAGCACTCAGTGGCTTCTCTACCTTCCTATGCCTAAGGACATTTCATTTTCCTTCAAGATCATTGGTAATATTCTCATAATGACAGTTGAGGTTTACCTTCTTATATATTTTATTTCTTTTGTTATTTTTAATTACCTTTCCATACATAAAGGCTGATTTCAAATTCACTAAATGGGCATACTGGAAGATGTCAGAAGTACAGTATATTTAAAGAGAACCTCCTTCATGCTTAAAACGTGACATAAAGGATTTGGGAAAAAGGTAACGTAGCTTATGGTGAAATATTAGTGGAAACCCAGGGAGACAAATTATTTCCTGAAAAGTTTGGAGTCTTCACAGAAGACTAGGACAGAATTTTTAGTAAGAAAGAAGTCAAAATGTTTTTATGATGATTTAAAACAAGAAGTGAAAAAATAAATGAGTAGGTAAATTGCAAATTAAAACACTTTGAAAAAATTTGACATGTCAAATAAGATACTAAAAATACTCTTGAAGTGTATTTTGATAGTGGATGAATGAGTAAAAGTGATGAAAGAGTTTTCCTCCCCACTGGATGTTACCTGTTTAGAGAAGCTGTGGAATATAATGCCAGTGGCAGCAACTAAAGTAAATCTGTGTGTTTATATTAGATAACATCTTACAGTGGAATGTTTTTTTCCAGGTTGTGGGTAATGAGGCACAAATTGATTATGAAACTATTTATTTTCCTGATTGGTCTGTTGGCTTTTCATGTATTTTCAATATTTAAACATAAAGGTTAAAAGATTAAAGCTTACTAGTGTTTCACTGAAGGAAAACTACACTGTGAATTGATGTGCTCCATTGGTCAGGTCTGGAGAATGCTTAAGTAAATCAAAGTTTATCTTAGAGATGACCTTTAATGCATTTATGCATTATGTCACAGTAGCAGGGATTAGGGGAGTTCCTGTCACCAAAATTGAATTGCTTTGCTTATGAATTTCCAAGGTCAATGAATGCTTGATTTGTGTGCTTTTTAAATTTCAGGGTGTTTATAAAATATAGGCCAAAGTAATTGGTGATCTTTTGCTAGAAAATGTTGCTGTTTAGAACTTCTGACACACATTTCGCATTCTGCACTTTCAAATCACTAGGATTTTCAACCATTTGAAAATTGAGCACTGGGAATCCTATACTAGATTGTCTCACAAATGCTATATTCATAAGTATTATCACTTACTTGGTCAGCAAACATTAATTAAAAAGGGATGGATCAAAACAGTTTGAGATTTCTGGATAATGAATCATACAGTACTTTGATATATATATATGTATATATTTATATATATGTATATTTTTTTATATATTTATGTATATATATATATAAAGTGCAGGGAGCAGTCAGACTAGTTTAGATCCTTGAAGGAATGCTTCAGACTTTACACATTGTGTTTTACATGGTAGCAGATACACAGCTAAATCAGCAAGATTCAGGGGATCTGCCATGTTCAGGGCAGTAGACATTGAGTAATTGTGAAAGCTGTATTCATAATTCAAGGAATGAAAGCTGGTCACTGTTTGCTTTATGAAAAAAAAATACTTCCTAGAACTGACGTTTTCTGTTTCAGTTCTGTAATACTGGGGAACAGGGCTGTTGTGAGAGGCAGAAAACAGGAATCCATAACTTTGCTCTGCCATTGCTCTGCTGTGTAAAAATTAATTTCTTCTTTGCCTCAGTTTCCTCATTTGTAAAAGCAATCCTGATGTGTTCCCCACACAGATATTTTGATGTGTGTGAATAAAATACTCTGTAATGATGCTGTGCATTTACAGGCATTAATCTACCTCTTAAAAAATTTTTTGTGTAAGGTTATATTTTCTACCTACTTATTTTGTTTTCTTATGTTAATGTTAACTTTGTTTTGTTTTGTTTTGTTTTTTTTGTTTGACTCTGTTCTCCCCATAGCACCAGAAACAAAAATGATCGATGGTCCCTTCTTTATGCACATGATAAAGCAGAAATGTATTTTTATTTCCATACAGTACAAACTTTTTTTTTCATTCATATTTTGTAACAGATCAGGGAATACAATGGACAAATGCAGGGAATTACCAGTGGGGGATTTGCATCCTTGACATTTGATGGAACTGTAGGAGCGCCAGTAGTTCCTCGAACTTCTAGCAAAGTGTACACTTTCATGGATGAAGAACATAAAACAATAGAAGAATTACGTGTTTGGGCAGCCCGTAATATTTCCATCCCTGGACCAGCAGCAAAATTGTCTAGTGTTCAGCCAATGCTGTTCTTTGATCTCACTTGCCACCTGGTAGGAAAAGCAAAAGTGGATGGATCTTCTTTTCTTCTAAAGGTAGACTTATTTTTTTTAATAATTTGTTAGATTTATGTATTCAGATGTTGTGATACATTTTTTGATAAGGCAGACATATTAATTTATACCCTGAGATTAGCTCACTTAGAGCATGGTGCTAATAACACTAAGGTTATGGGTTCGATCCCTGTACAGGCCATTCATTCAACATGATCCTTGTAGGTCCCTCCCAGCTCAGAATGTTCTGTGAAATTCTGTGAAATAATGTTATGTAGGTAAATGTTTTGACTGTAAGCAAATTTGTGATCTTGGGCCATTTTATTTCTATGAAAACAAAACAGAAACCACAGTACTTTTTGAAGTTGTTCACCTGATTTGTTTTTTAAGAGAGGTTTAGTAAGATGGCATTGTATGGGTCATCATTTCACATTTGTAGATAAATATTGCAAGATTTCTTAACCTTGAAAAATGTTTGTTTTAAACTTCAGTCTTGTTTTTTAGTTAGCATTTACTGCTTGTTTTTCTAGATCAGCTGGGTATGATTAGTGCAGTAAGTAGCACTATCTAAAAAAGAATTAATGTATTAGGTTATCTGTCGTGATGGATTCTAGGTAGTTTCTCTTAGTTATACATAAGCACTTTGGGCATCAGTGCTCACTGAAAATACAAAATGCCAAGTGCCACACAACAGGATAGTAATATCCAAGGGTGATCCTTAACATTAACTAAATAAAAGGGAGGTCTCCATAATATTCCTGGGTTCAACTCCAGATGTATCAGTCTGAAGTTATTCTGAAACTCCTCTGCTTTTATTTTTCTGTATTTTCTAAGTTGATTGTTAAAATGTGAGTGATGATCAAGCTGTTATTTTCCACTTTATGACTTCATAAAATTATTTATTGGTTCTACTGTGTTAAACTGTATTGTTACAATGTTTTTAGAAATAGCACGTCATTATTCCTTCATTAAAGCAGCAAAGATTTTTCTAATACAGAACAATGCATGCACTACATAGAAACAAACCTTAAGTGAGTGCTATAACATGCTCTGCAACTGATACAGACATTTCCATTTAATTATCCCTTGTGAAAGACATATCAAGTGAGACCCAGTAAAATTTCAGAACTTTGTGATCTGTAATTATGTTGTTAATTGATAAGTATATCTTCAGCATTGAAGGACCCTTTGCAATGACAGAGACAAGTGCTTTCTCAAATTATTAATATTTCTCTACACACTTTCCTGTGTTGTAAGATTCAAAGTCGATTTTGTCACTTTTGTGTAGTAAAGGTAATGACTTAGGGAAATCTTAGGGTAGACTTAGGAAAATAAAAGTTTGAAGTTAAATAATAATAGATGAATTTTTCTGATACATAATTCCTCTGACAGTATATATTTTTAGCGTTATAAAATATTAAATACTTAAATCCATATTAAAATACAGCAGACCAGCTTAAAAATGCTACATTAACATTGATATGCTGTTGGTAATTCCCTCTATTTTTCAACAATGGCAAAATCCATATCTTACATCAGATATTGGCCATGATAGAAGAGAAACCTTTCTAAAAACTTTTAGACGGATCTCTGATTATTTTGTTGATTTGTTAAACAAAAAAAATCAAACAAAACCACCAAGTCAATGCCAGCTCATGGAGTGATCATTAAATACTATTTTATTGTATTCTTTTGGTTATGCGTTTTATAATAATGATTTACATTTATCATGTTATTCCAAGTACATCAGTTATAGTAGTGACTGTTTATAGTATGAAATATCATGATTATTTTAAGCATTAAACTGAGGTATATGAGTGGGGATGGCTTCAAAGACAACTAAAATGAATTTCAGCAATTTTGTGCATCATCTATAGCATAACATTTAAATTACACTTGATAAATTAATTGCTACATGCACAGCAGCTGATGTGGATGTGGCATAAAGATTGTATCGCTGACTTGATTATTTATTATCATTTTCTGAGAATTTTCTTATTCAAACTGATGGAGACTAAAGAATTCACAATAGAAATTATTCTGTCATTTATGCCTTTTATAAGAGTTTTACTGTTATTCTTTTCTTCCCTTTTGCCTGTCAGTTAAATTATGTACATTAAGTCATACAATGAGCATACTCTGCTGAAGAGAAAAACAGGTATCATTGTGTCTCTTTCATTTCAGTGTTTTGCCAACCATGGTGATCAAAGGTTATCATTAACTTAGCTCCAGGTTGTTCATGACTAGTAAAAGAAAAATTTGTTGGTTTTCATCCAGAATTAATTTAACCGGTGTTGGGTTTTCATCCAGTGTTTATTTTTGAAACCGGGTCAGTTTGGAAACAGGGTGTTTTCATGTTTCCATAATTTGAGTAAAGCAAAGCTGCCAAGCTCCTGAGGGAGAGAGCTTGATCTGTTTTCATATTTGTGCAAGAAAAAAAGAGAAACCAACTACTTCCGCAAAGATTTTTTTTTTTCTTTTAGAGAAAGCTTGCATTATATTATAAATTCTTCCAAAAGGTACTGGTTCTGGCCCCATTAGTTCCTCTGGTGAAGGACATTTCAAAACTAAGTCACCATCCCTTTATCTGAAAAGGGAGCCTACAGGTTATTTCAATCCATTTGTCAAATCCATCTCTCCAGTGTAGAATTAAACTACCAAAGTGTCCCAAGTAAAGCCAGCTGAAATAATAATGAAAAACTAAACCAATTTAAGGCTCTTTATTTTGTCAAAGTGACTAAATTCGTAATAGATATGCACTAAATCTGTTTCTCAAGCTCAGTTCTGGAAAAGATTTGATAATTCAAGCAATAGGAAACCTCTCTTTCAAAGGTGGTTTCAAGTATTTCATGGTGCCGGATCAGAAGATTGTAGGCTTTTTTTAATCTGTGGCAGCATATACCATCTCATTATCTGGTCCTTCAGAATACACTCTTACTTGGTGTATTAGGGAGAGTTCGTAGCATACTGAAGCTGAAAACCATAACACCATTGAAAGCTCAACAAAACTGATATTTATTACCAAGAAGTGGCCAACAAAACGAACAAATCCAAAAGAGAGGAAGGAGGAGAAAAATAAACCCTCAGTACGACTTCCCCAGTCACCCAGCTGTTGCTTATAAAATTATCTTACCGACCTAGAATGCCTATAATTACCCCATAGCAGAAGCTGCATCTTTGGAGAGTCAGTAAGTTCACAAATTGGCGGGCATCCCCGCCAAAAGGCAACGTCCTTGAGGTGAAGCTTGCTTCCCTCCAAAAAAGAGCTGTCTGCCTTTATACAACCTAGGCAGGTGTGGTCAGCACTGCCCAGCCAGAGGCGCTCAGTCCCACCCCCCGTTACGCAAGTAATATCTCTTCTGCTCACTCATGGCTTTCAGTACACCTGCGTACTGCACCTGGGGCTTCTTTCTTAATTGAGTTGGTGGGTTTACTTCATCCTCTTCCTCCTCAATCTCTCCTTCAAGCAACCTTGAAAGGCGATTAGCCAATCATAGAACACCAACTAAATATATTTATACAAGATTCTCCCTTTCAAGGACGAAATTCCCATTTATCAGTGTTTGTTTCTCATTACTTGTCAGGTAAAGAACAAAGCTTTTACAGGTGGCTGGGCCAAACACAGACCAAAAGTATCAGTGTAATTGAACCCTGATACACTTGGCAATATTAATTTGATGTTATGGGTCATTTTCACTGTCAACAGCGAAATTCCTTTTTTTCTCTTGATTTTGGATGGGTATTCCAGCCATGAGTTACTTTCAGTGTATTTATACATAGCTTTGCTGATCCTTAGATCTTTTCCCATGTGTCTGTTGATCCAAAGCAGTTAAGCATAAGGGGTACAAACTCTTTAAAAATTGATCTTTGGTGTCTTTTTTTCTTGCCCTCTGCAGTACGTAACTTATGGGACAAAGTGCCTTAGTATCACAAACTCTGAAAATCAGCTTCTGTTGAACCTATGTGCATGAAACCCTATGAAATACAGCGTTTCAGAATAATGATCCAAATGCTTCTAGATTTTCCTTTTACTGTACCAGTATTTCAGACCATTATTCTTGTTGTTTATGAGAAGAGTATATCTTCAGAAACTCAGGAACTAGTTAACAGAATGATATTTGATTTAAGTAGTAAGATTTTGGTACCAAAGTGCGAAGCCTATTGGTAAACTTACTTTTTCACAATGACTTTGATAGCTCAGAAATAATTCTACTGATATTTCAGTACTAGGAGTATATTAAAGGTTTAGCTTTAGGCACACAATTTTTAGAACCTTTGTTAATAAGTGTATGTTAAGTACTGATGTTTTTCTAAAATGCTCTAGATAACTGGTAGTGTATCCTGATATAGGAGATCATCAGTAATTAAATCAATATATACTGTGTACTCAGTCTTCACATACAGTAGCTGAAGTGGTTAAAAAGCCCCTATACCATGATCAAAATATTAATTATAGACAGTGCTGGATATGATGAATTCTAATGGTTGTAACTTCTGGATAAAAGTTGAGGTTTTGCTAGAGCTGATATTTTTTTTAAATATTAACAATTCTAGGTCTTAGCACTTGATCATATTCTCGATAGAGGTTGTTTTATGCTCTGTAAGGAATAATAATTAAAAAAAACCCATAAGGTCTAATTTAAGTATTTTAAGGACTTTTAGGCTAAGACTACAGTTGGGATTTCTTATTGTTACTGATTTTTAATCAAAAAAAAAAATTTAAAAAAAGTTATTTAAAATCTGAATCTAAAGTATTCTGAGCACATTGAAGTAGTTCATTTGCATTGCAGGTATGGGATGGCACAAAATGTCCCTATCCAACATGGAGAGTACCTGTGGAAGCAAAGGACTTGGAAGGAGAAAAGGTTCTTCTTCATCAGCTGAGAAATCTAATGGTGGACATTCTAGTCTATGATAACCATGTACAACTGGCAAAATCACTTAAGGTAGTGCACAGTTTGGTATTTCTGTCTCTCTTTTTGTGGCCTATTTCCTGCTTAGAAGTCACTTCAGAGAATGTATTAATTCAATTCTGCTGTAATTAGTTTCATGTTCCTCTTTATCTTTCACTGTATTTCCTGTACCTTTTATTTGAATGGAAAACTCCTTCAACATATGTTAAACAGCCTCATTACTCGAAAATTACCATGAAAAAAAATTCTTCCAATTAAGCTGTTCTTTTCAGACACTGTAATATAATATATATAATCCTGTGAAAATAATGAACTCAGAAAATGTATTCTATGCTTTAGAATTATTTTTAAATGATACAAAGTGGGGTTAAACTCGTAGTCCTATTTAAAACTCTTAATTCTAATGTCAGTAGAAGATTTTCTGTTCTATAAACTTCTGCAGTTTGCAGTGCAATCTTCATTTAGTGGATCAGTAATGTTGATTATGCTTAGATAGAGAAAACAACATAATTAAACATTTGATCTTCAGCAATACTGCCATCTTGCTTCTGAATACAGGAAATTAGCAAAGAATACATCTTTCATTTCATGCCTTGCTCTCTATACCCAAGATCATTTTTAAGAAAACATTAACTAGAAAATAAAGATAAGTGATAAACATTTGTTAGGCTGGTGCTATTGGCAGACATGAAATCAATTTGATAAATTAACATCCATTCATAAGTAAATGACAGATAGCAAAAGAAGTGTAAGGATTTGTGTAAGAATTCATAACAAAACTGACAGACATATTTCATTCAAGTTCTCTTCCAGAATTTTTCTCTTGCTAACTGGTGTAATCTGTTGATAAATAATTGATGTTCTAGTGAAACATTATGTTTTGAAAATTAAGGGGAAAATATTTTAATACTAATAAAACATAATTTCTTGAGTAGTTGATAATACTTCTTTTATTGCTCTCACCCTTTTATGTTCAGGAATTCCTGTTGAATATGTGATACATGGGATGTCTTCATCAGCTCTCTCATATTTTTACTTCCTATAAGTTTGCCCTTTCTTATTTCTAAAGCATTTGTACCTTTGCTGGATACTGCACTGTGTAGTAGAAGCTCTAATTTCATAGGAAATTGCTAAAAAACCTCCTTTGTCCTTCTGAGCAATGCAGGTTGTTTTTCTCCTGGCTATGTCCAAAGTTGCAGTAGTTTCAGTCATGAAAGCTGTAGAAGTTTAAAGTGAGATCATTTTCGAACACCACTTTTTAGTGGATTGTCTTAGTGAAGTTATCGAAGAAAAGAGGCTGATATGGTAACAATTAACTTAAGAAGGATTTATTAATTTCAGGTTGCAGCATGTAGAATTAATTTTATTTCACAGAATAAAATAAATATAATAAAATTTTGGGGGAACTGTCCCTCAAATGGAGGGGTTTTAAATACTAGTGGAAATCATGTCATATCATAAGAAAGTAAAGTGAAATCTGTATAATACTTTATTTAGTTCAGGGTCTTGTTATGCAAAGATTTTTTTAAAAATTCATCCATGTAGAAGTATGGAACTGGAGACTGTTTAGTGTATCCATGTACACCTTCCCAAGTGTGATTAGATGTTTTGCCAGTTTATGGTTGCAGAAACAGTAAAAGTATGCTAGTTTTCAACCATGTCTTCTGCATTTGACAGTAGCTTAGAATTGCCGTTTTTTATGTAAATTGTTATGGAATTGTTAGGTTGTTGTGTACTGTTTACAGTGACAGTTGCAGCTCAGAAATGACATTTTATGTAAGTGCAATCCCTTTTACACAGCCTTGTTAACATGAAGGGCAGGTTGAAAAAAACCGTGAAATATTTTAAAATTGTATCTGTAGGCACATGTTCAGACTAGGAAGCTCTGAGTAGGCACTACACACTAGAGAAAGTGGGTGATGTACTACAGTGAATTTTTGGCAAATGCCGGAGCACAGAGTAAGGGATATTGCTGCGAGAGTTTGTTAAAAACTCCTTGTTCAGGTTGTCTGTCCAGAGAACACTGAAGATTTGAGCATTTTATCCCATTTTCCGAGGCAGTCAAATAATACTTACAATTTTCAATGGAGAGAACTTTACTAACATTGAAGATGTTGCTGTTGATACCATATGTTCCCTGTATTTACTGGCCTCCCTTTCCTACTGGGTAAGATTGTGGCTTTTCAGCATTTGGTGCTTTGACAGAACACAAAAAGAATTTTCAGAAATCTCATCTCTGAAGTAGATTATTTCCTGGGGTATAAAGACACAAGCAAGAACTACAACTAAGCAAAGAAAATGATATTCACTGCTTTTGCTTGAAATTGCCTCTTCCTCTGGCTACCTGGGGTGCATGAGGCTTTTTCATTACTCTAGGAACCCCAGCCTACAACTAACTGTCTGGAATGCAGTTGCTCCACATACATTGCAGTTTGTTATTCTTCAGCCTTTCTTATGCCAGTTTTTCCAGAAGTTCTCAGGATTCACTGACACTGCCATAGGATTTGAGAATAGGTCTGTGATGTGGGTTTCTCCATCTTAAGGATTTTTCTTAGATTAAGGTGAGTGAGCATCAGTGGTCAGTCAGTGCACAGTAGGGGTACAGCTGTCCTCAGCTGGTTAGAGATTTCCTTACGTTCTGTCATTCACTGAATGCGTGGTTCTGTGCCTTCCTCTTATGGCTTGATAACCATCAAGTTTGTGTTGCCATGCATTTTCTGGATAGTACAATTAAAACAATTAACCTTGAGCATATATATAAGTCCTAGTCTGTAGTTTCACAGCATTTACTTTGTGTTACATATCTTCAGATGTAGAATTTGTATATTTTCAGCTGTTTCTCCCACCATATAAAATGTCATCTCTTTTTTGGTAGTAGTATGGACCAAGAAGTCTCGCTTTTCTAGTGCCAGAGTCACATCTTCAACCTAAAACTTCAGTGAGTTACTACATGGCTGTAATACCTAGCTTCATATTTTTCAGACTAAGGTAGCATTCCTTTGACCTGTCAGTGGTATTCTCCACACCTCTGTCTTTTTACTTATTAAAAGGGGAAAAAACAAAAGATGACGCCCTCTAATCCCACCTCTGAGTCTTTCAAACTTTTAAATGGATTTAGGTTGGTATTTCTAACTGCAAAGGACTGTGCCCAAATGCTGTGTATATACTTCCTCTAATTTTCAAGAAGTTTTGCACCATTTACTCAGTTAAATTAGACTGTTGATATGATAAAAATGATGACACAGAAATCCCATTGAATATAATCAGCCATAAAAATAGGTATAAAAAGGACTACAGATGAATTTGTTAAGTGATTCCTGCAGATGAAGACACCTTCTTGTCATGAGTGCCTTTCTGGTCCAACATGAACATTTAGCTGCCATGACAAATGGCTATTCTGAATTCATCAGTGTGAATGTCAACACAACCCTATAAATTTTGAAATAATCATGAGAATTTCCTATGCTAGAGTTTTATTAGTTGGCTGGTTATAGGAAACTGCATATGTGACTTCTGCATTTTAATTCTCTCTAGCTTTAATACGTATTTTTTAAATAGTCATATTTGAATTAGACTGCAAATAGGGTATTAGTATATTTTATACTACTGCAAAAAATGTTTTTATTCTGCTTTAATTCATTTTAAATTAACTTGCTCTAAATGAAATAGGTAGTTCATAAACAGAACTGCTGTAAAGTCAAGTAAGGAGCTGGTTTTGTACTATATTTTAGTGCTGGCTCTATAAATCGTGTTGTTTAATGTAGATTATAATTTCTTCTCAGTCAAGTATATAAAGTGCTCAGTCTGCAGGCATTCTGTAAACAACAGAAACACAGTAACATTTTTATCCATAACAGTCTGCTCGCTGCTCTTAACTGTAAGCAAGGCTGCCGCCTGAAGGAATCCATGGAAATGGCACCCTGTTTGCACAGGCAGCTCTGGCTTGACATTCAGAACCCTATGGACTTTTTCAATATTTGGCAATGCTGATTGTAATGCTTCTCTTTATTATGGTTATAAGTAATATTAAAATACATAAACTAATAACATTTTCAGAAAATAATCTAATAAATGCATATATAGAAAGATTATAGTGATGACAAATCTTGCAAAGTGAATGCTGCACTAAAATGTGTAGTTTAGTTGACTTTTGCATGAATTTCAGCACACAGGTTTAGCAGGCAGACTCAACACTTTGTATTTTTGGCTTCTGAGCTCTTGTCTCCCATGTTTAATTTTTTATATTTGTACGTAGAGAAAATACTTTTTTCATATATTCTTTTTAAAAGAAAAAATCTGTCAATTGTAATGAACTTCTTCCTGTTTATATGCAAATTACTTTGGGGGTAGGAAGTAGTTTGACACTGTTTTATTAACTTAAAGTTGTTTCATAAGCAGAACTTAGCTAAGAACTTCTAAAAAAAACATTCTCCCAAGGCATTTGTCACAGTCATTCGATTACTTTTATAATATGAGTGCCCCTTGTATTTTTGGATGTTTAATATAATTAGGTGAAATCAGTATCTGGAAAGGAAAAAAAAATGCAAACTTCTGGATAAGCCTCTTAACTACCATCTAAATGCACAAGCTGTCCTGGTAATGCTTTGAATGAACAAAATGAGCAGCCCCCTAACAGTGCAGATCAATTAAAACTCTGGTAAGAGCTCCAAGCCAGAAGCAAAATAGGTGCAGGCTGAAGTGCAGTTTTTATGTCCCTGCTGCCCGAATTGGAAAATATGCTGCCTTTTTCGTCTGTGATTATTGTTTAAAAGTAGTTTGATACCAGCATTATGTAGTCACAGTTTGTTCCTTGATACAGAGAAGGAATGTAGACACAGGTTGCTGCTCCGTCTACTTTTATGCATGTATACATAAATTTGTAAGTGTTGTACTAAGACCTGACCAATCCAATCTAGGTTTCCACTGGTTAAAGTTGAAATAAGACTTAACAGACTTGACTGCTGTAATATTAATTTTAATTGAAGTAAATTTAAAATAATTTATCATTTATATAGGATTATTTAAAAAATACTTAAAATGAACACAAATCCAGGTTGTTGAATGTGTGTAGCTTGCCAGCTATGAAGTGGATCTTAGGTTACATATTTTAAAAAAATATTTTAGTAACTGTATAGTTAAGTGTCCAGATTATCTGCCTTTAGAACCTTGGGTTTGATTTTATTTGTTTGGTTGGATGTGTGGGGTTTTTGGGGGGGGATAATGGGTATGATATTTTGAAATAAAAACAGTTATAAAGGTGTGTTCAATGTTCAGATCTCCATGATTTTATTTTTTAATAGGTATTTGTATAAGTTAGCTTAAGTCCATTTGTGTAACTTAATAAAACTGTTTCAGAAAACACAAAATAATTTTAAGCAAAAGAAGAAGCATATTCTCTGTGTACCTGAGGAGAAGATCTAACAAAGTTAGGAAGAGTGCCAAAATGTTTCAGTTTCTAATATGTGTTACCTTTTCTCCTGGTGCTAAAAAAATGTTATCTGTAATGTAAGCGTAAGATCAGATAAAGAAATCTGAGTAAACAGATGTGTTTGTATGTACACCTGAAGAGATAAAGAACTGTGCATGAAGATGGACATGAGGTCAATTGCTGTATGTGGCCATACATGGACAAATCACAGGACTTCAGTCCCCAGAGGACTGTGTTCTGAAAATAGAAAGGAAATTAAGCCCTCAGAAAAGAAATGTATAGACTCATTTGATCTGTCTTCTGAACTGTGTTTGAGAATTAGATTTATTAAGAAGGTTGTTTCTGAATCACCCTTTGCTGTCAGTAATGTTATCTGATAAAGCAAAATAAGCAGGTCACCCAGAGAGGTTTTGCAGTCTCCGCATTTGAAAATATTCAAAACCCAACTGGAGACAACCCTAAGAAGCCTGTTTTAGTTGTCTCTGCTCTGGGCGCAGGGGTTGAATGAGGCAATCTCCAGAGATCCCTGACAAGTTTAACTGTTATGTGATTCAGTTCAAACAGGGAAGAAGCTTTATGAGGCCTAGAAGCCTAGAATTTTCCACGTAAACAGCTAGCTTTGTGCTAAGTTGTTTTGTTTCTTTTCAGATTGGAAGTTTTCTGAGAATTTACAGCATTCATGCGAAACAAGCAAGTGCTGATAATGAAGATGTCTCTCATATAGAATTTCATCTTCATGGTGGCACCTGTTACGGTCGAGGAATAGGAGTCTTGCCAGAAAATAACCCCGATGTTAAGGAACTAAAAACGTAAGTTTTGTGTGTAGGTGTTTTGGGGTTTTTTTCCCTAGGTGATTCTTGAAAACTCTAGGCTAATGTAACAACTGTATAGTTTAGAGTTGCAAACATATCTAAGAACCAGAAACTCTGGAGCAGAATATGTCTTTAGCACCACTAAGATGAAGAGTATTTGGAGGGATAGGTTAATAAAGGCTATTTTTTCAAATTTTGAATATAGTAGGGATCAAGATCTCTATTTTATAGTGCTGTAATAATAAATTCTGACCATATTAACATACTTACTCTGTATTATGGTGGCATATAATCTTTTGAAGACAAAAGCCTTGTTTCAGCAAATAAATTAAGCACATTTTAAGCATGTACATATGTGTTAATTGAAAGTAGTGAGATTTAAAGATGTTCAAAATGAAGCAGATAATTTACATGCCTTACTGAACTGTGTTATATTCATAGGGAATCACAGAATCATTTAGATTAGAAAGGACCTTTAAGATCATTGAGTCCAAATGTAAACCTTGTCCAAGTCCGTCACTAAGCCATATCTCTAAATGCCACATCTACATATCTTTTAAACACCTCCAGAGATGATGACTCCTCCACTTCCGTGGGCAGCCTGTTCCAGTGCTTGACAACCCTTTCCATGAAGAAATTTTTCTAAATACCAAAACTTCCCCTGGCACACCTTGAAGCCATTTCCTCTCATCCTATCACTAATTTCCTGAGAGAAGAGGCCGACCCCCACCTTGTCATAACCTCCTTTCGTGTAGTTGTAGAGAGCAATAAGGTTTCCCTTCAACCTTCTTTTCTCCAGGCTGAACAACCCCAGCTGCCTCAACTGTTTCTCATATGACTTACTCTCTAGACCATTCATCAGCTTTGTTGCCCTTCTCTGGACTCACTCCAGCACCTCAATGTCTTTCTTGAAGTGAGGAGCCCTGAAACAAACTCAGCATTTGAGGTGTGGCCTCACCAGTGCCAAATACAGTGGGACAATCACTGCCCTGGTCCTGCTGGCCACACTATTTCTGATACAAGCCAGGATGCCATTGGCCTTCTTGGCTGCCTGGGCACACTGCTGGCTCATGTTCACCCAGGTCCTTTTCTGATGGGCCACTTTCCAACCACTCTGCCCCAAGCCTGTAGCTCTGCATGAGGTTGTTGTGACCCAAGTGCAGGACTCAGCACTTCACCTTCTTGAACCTCATACAGTTGGCTTCAGCCCATCAATCCAGCTTCTCCAGATCCCTCTGCAGAGCTTTCCTACCCTCCTGCAGATTAACACTCTGGCCCAACTTGGTGTCATCTGCAAACTGGCTGAACCCTCAATCCCCTCATCCAGAACATTGATAAAGACATTAAACAACTAGCCCCAATGCTAAGCCCTGAGGAACACCATGAGTCACCAGCCACCAGCTGGATTTAACTGCATTCACCACCCCTCTCTGTACCCAACCATCCAGCCAGTTTTTTACCCAGTGAGTAGGCACCTGTCCAAGCCATGAATAGCCAGTTTCCCTGGAAGAATGCTGTGGAAGTGAGTGTCAAAGGCTTTACTGAGGTCCAGGTAATCTACATCCACAGCCCTTCACTCATCCACTGAGTGGGTCACTTTGCCATGAAAGGAGATCAAATTGGTCAAGCAGGACCTGCCTTTGATAAACCCATGCTGGCTGGGCCTGACGCCCTGGTTATGCCTGATGCCCTGCTCATGCCACATGGTGGCACTCAATATGATGCTCCATGACCTTCCCTGGTACCAAGGTTAAACTGACAGGCCGGTAATTCCCTGGATCACCCGTCTGACCCTTCTTGTAGATGAACGTCATCACATTTGGTAACTTCCAGTCAACAGGGATCTCCTTGCTTAGCAGGGCTGCTGATAAATGATGGAAAGTGGCTTGGTGAGCACTTACACCAGCTTCCTCAGTACCCATGGGTGGCCCCCATCCAGTCCCATAGACTTGTGTATGACTAAGTGGTGTAGTAGATCACTGATTGTTTCCTCTTTGATTGTGAGTGCTTCATTCTGCTCCCCATCTGTATCTTCCAGCTCAGGGGACTGAGTACTCAGAGAAAAACTGGTCTTACTATTAAAGACTGTGGCAAAGAAGGTGTGAGGTACCTCAGCCTTTTCCTCATTCTTTGTCACTGTTTCCCCCCACATCCAACAAAGGATGAAGATTTTTCAGAGCCTTCCTTTTGTTGATGATGTATTTGTAGAAACTGATTTTGTTGTCTTTCATGGCAGTAGCCAGATTAAGTTCTAGTTGGGCTTTGGCCCTTATAATTTTCTGCCTGCAAAACATCCTTTAGTACTCCTTAGTGGTCTGCCCCTTCTTCCAAAGGTTATAAACTCTTTTTTTCCTTAGGAAAGGCTAAGTCACCAAAGTCCATGTTCCTTTATCAGAAATTCTGTTTCCAGCAGTACATGTTTCTTTTTGGCACTATATTGTGCTAAGTGTTCCAGAAGTGATTTGGAAAGGAGTAGCTTATCTGCATCATTAATATAATTCCCTGCAAATTCTGGCTCAACTGAGTTTTATATCTCTGCTGGAACCTTTATGAGTGAACATTATACCAGTGTATTGATAATAAATAGGTATCATATAAGTCTCTGTGTAATCTCATTATATATATATATATGTGTGTGTGTGTATGTAGATATATGAAAGATTTCTCTAGATTATAAAATATTTAATCATTTATTTTTAGATTCTTAGAATCTGTGGATCTGGCAGACAGTCAGAATATGGAAAGCATGTCTTCAGTGGAATTAGACGACACTTTTAGCGATTTTACGGGTAAGAGCAATTGGTCTTTCTTCTAACACATATATATGGTCAAGATAAGGTCACAGTTACTGCTTCTCTGAGTATGTAATGTTAATTTCACATGCAAAGCCTTAGAGAATTATTTTGGATTATTAGACTGGAAATTTTCATTACCCTATCTTTCTGTCTCCCAGCCTTTTATATTACACGGAAAGATACTTTCATAGGAGGTAGTGAATAAATTCTTAAACACAGATGGTGTTCTTAATCATATTATATTAGATCACAAAGCAGAGTTATGTAACTACCTTCCTCTAGGATTCTTCAGGGACAAACACTGAAAACACTACTGAACAGCTGTGTGTTGTGTTCAGTAGTCACTGGATGGAAAGTTTTGTCAGTGCCAGAGCTGTAAGGTGCAGTGCCATGGAAAAGTAGCATCTTACAGACAGTTTTACAGATCCCATATTATTCTTTGAATGGCATTTTTAGCCCAGGATAAGAATAACTAAAAGGGAATTAAACTCTAAAGGTGGTTGGACATAGCCTCTGTCTTTGCTTCTAAGCTTTTAAAATCCTGTGTTACTTAGCCATTATTAATGTGCTGTGACTGGATATTTCTAAAAGAATGTAAAAGTCAAGAATAAATAAATACTTCATGTCCAGTCCATAACTGCAAATTTAGAAAGAATTTTGCTCTTATTTACTGCACTCTGTGTGTGTAGTAGAGGTTGTTCAGAGGAGGAACCAGGCAGTCCATTAGAATAATGTTTATGTTCTTGTCCCAAAAGATTACAAGGGATGAAAACAGTTTATGTTAGCAGATCATTCACAGTATGCTTTTGAAAAGTGTTCATTTGATGAGCATTACTATTTAATGTATATGTTAACTTCCACTCAATATATTAACTCTTGATATGTAATGTTTGCCTCCTGCTTACTTTGCTTTTTTCTTTTGCTATGTTATTTTCATACATTATTGGGATTTCCATTTTCCTCTGTTCAGCTTTTGGGTTTGTGTGTATATCTATCTGCCTACCTACCTACCTGTTTTTGTGTGTCCACATAATAAAAAAGAAAAGAAGGAAGGAAAATAATTAGGTAATTCTTCTTGATTTTAGATCTTGAATCGCACTTACAGAGATGTCAGCAGTTACCTGTTACAGGTAGGTAACATTTTGACCTAAGGTGAATTTGAATTTTGCTAAAGAACAAAAACAGTTTTGAGATATTGTCTCAAAGGCTGAAATAATCTTTTACGTATTTTAGGAAGAGCTATTCTAAGAGTATAAGTGTATCTATGTTACACTGGTTTTATTTGGCTTTTTAAGGAATAGAGCATATTTGTATATTCTACTTCCATTTGTTTTTTCTACGTGTTGAATTTCTGGACCCTGAAGTACACCATGCTCCTGCAGCCTGTTTTAATTTATCTTACAGACTGTAGTAACACATTGTATTGATAAAACTGAGGCTGTAAGTGGGAGGGAAAGAAAAGTTGGAAATTAAGGAAAAATGCAAACCTTCAATTGCCATTTCCTGTATTCTAAATATTATGGTGTTTAATAGGTATGCATGATGCTTTTTTGTGTGTGTGTATTGTTTTGCAGTATTAACAGATCATCAGGATTTGAATAACACAGAACTGAAAACCATTATGAACAGCACAGCTCCTCGACAGTATCGCATTAGAGCAAAACTGAGAACCTATAAACCCCAGAAGCTCCATCAGTCTGTTAAACTTCATTGTTCCAAATGCAACTCCTTGTAAGTGTTTCACGCAGTATAAGTAATTAGGAAATGTTCTATATGTTTTGGGATGCCTAGATTTTCAGCATATTTTCATCTTTTTTTGTGTAAAATGAGCTGAATGTAATTGAAACTCACTGATAATAGGGAGGAAAATTTTAAATCATCAGATGAGCTCCATTTACGAATCCTTTGAGTGCTCTCAAGACAATGACTTTTCTTTATTTTCAAATGCAGCAGTGCAGTTTTTCCATACCAAAGTTGTATTTAAGTACCTGTTTCTTACTTGCAGTTCTAGAATAGGATATGCAAAGAAGTATGATAGTCTCCAAGTGAATGAGTAAAATATCTTTGACTAAAGTGCATCTCCCAGACAAGGCATCTTTCCTGGATCCAAAAATATCGGAGAAATCATAGAATGGCTTGGATTGCAAGGGGCCTTAAAGATTATCTTGGTCCAAACCCCTGCCATGGGCAGGTATACCTTTCACTGGACTAGGTTGCTCAGAGTCCCATCCAGCCTGTCCTTGAACACTTCCAGGGATGGGACATCTACGTTATTCACCTTGTTATTTTTGTCCTTTTTTCTGATCTGTGTGACTTCACTGACCATTGTATCATTGTTATTTCCCCTTTAATGCTGTTTGTCATTGTATCAAATAATGCTCACCTATTTTTGATTAAACTGCTGAGTGGTATGCATTGAAGTGCTATCCATGATCATCTGAATCCTGTATCATTTTTTTGCCTGACTTAACATCAGTCCCAAACAAACAGCTTTATTATTACTGATGTAAACTATTGCTTTCTTTAATGATGGCACATTAGCATTCTCCTAGCCTTTTGTAAATTTTTGCACAATCAAGATTTATCAGATGCAAACATCACTGAGACAAGAAAATGGCTCTGCTGTCCTTCTCTTACAGCTTTTGGATGCAAAGTATGCCTGCAGCTTTAACAGGCAGGTCCTTATCAGATATTCATAATGTAACAGAAGTACTTCAGCATCTTCAGAACATACAAGGACATGGACTTTATTGCCAAGTATAAAAAGGAGATAATTACCTATAATAACTATGTCTGCCACTCTTGTCACTTGTTTATATATTTGTCAAATCTGTATAGTAATAAGCAGGTACAATTGATAGAATTTTGTTTGTTCTTTATGAACCTTATCACAAAACTTTCCATAAATATTATAGTCTTTTTTTATATTCTTGACTTGTATCTTTCTTTCTGTTCATTTTAATCATCTCCTGTTTCACATATTGTTACCTTCTCTTTGCCACAGAATTAGGACAGACTTTTAACTACATAGATTTCTGATGGTTTAGTAAGCATATTTACTATTACCACCATCCTGCTGCTGTGATAAAACTACTTACAGTGCTTTTGAAGAAATTTAGCTTCTCTTCTCAACTGTGTGCATCAGGTGGAAGCAATCAGTGAAATATAGTGGGGCTGTACTTCAGCCTGGATTGAGTAGATTAAGAGACCCAAGAAGGACACATGGTTCTTCTCTCTTACATATTCTTCTGTGGCAGAAGTTGTTTCATGTTGTAGCGTATGCTGAAGGGCCTGGCTGAACAAAGTTCAGTGCAAGCTTGATCCTTTAAAACTTTATCCAGTAAGATGTATGTATGCTTAGGGTATAAAATCCTTGTTAGAGATGTATTTTTAATGATTTTAGACCTTAGCTGGAAGCCTCTTTGTAAATAGCAAAATACCGATATAGATGGATGTAGTTTTATTCACGTATCTACTTAATAGAATTTTCAACCCTTGTGTGTAGCTTAGTTCAAAAACAACTCATTTCATTCCTGCCTCTGAGGGAAATCTTCAGGCAGGTTGTAGAAGCTGGAAGAGTTGTCTGGAAAGGTATGTCTGGAGAGATGACCTGCTGTCGTAGGTTGAAAAAGGCTTTCCCCCTGGAGTTGGAAAGTAGTTAACCCCAAGGGTGATGTTCTTGGTGTTGAGCCAATCAGCACCCCTGCGAAATTAGCATATTACACAGACCGAAAAAAGAAGACTGGGTACATAGCTGGAAGGAGAGGCAGCCATGGCTTGATACACCACGTGTTAGAGCTGAGGGGCCAGCAAGCCCTGCTGGGCGCCAAGGCCCCCAGCCCCTGGCTGGAACCATGGGAGACCCAGTGTAGTGTTAAAACTGGACTGGGTGCTGTGGCCAAAGGCTGGAGGGAGTTTCTCCACTGCGAGTGGGCAGCAGAAGACACTGAAGCGATGGCAGAGGCAGCACTGAATAGAGAGCTGTATCTGAAAGCCAAGAAGATAGCCGGCGAGCAGCAATATGGCACAGAGCCAGACTGAGAGACGCAGAGATGTCCTGCAGAGAGAAAGCCAGCAACAGAGCAGAGAAAGCTCAGCAGAGACTGTTTTGGGGTAAGACTGAATTACATCCCCAAAACCCTGAGACCTCCTTGGAAGGAGGGGTGGGCTTCCAAATTTCAAGGGAGTCCTGAAATGCAACAGCAGCTAGAGAGAGAGAGAGGAGCCGAGAGCTCGGAGGCATCCTGCGAGCTAGACCAGGACAGTCAAACCAAAGAATGCAGGGGAAGTGCTCCCTCCCCCCCACGTTTGCAGCCGAGACGGAGCAGAAGAGCTCTGCTAGAACGCTTGGGGAAAGAACTGAAAGCCCCTAAAACATTCTGACCCAGGGGAACTTGACCCCCCGGAGAAAGGGACTTTGATGGAACACTTTGCCTTCCGTGATATGACTGTGGTAAGGTGAGTTTTGTCCCTGCTTTGCAGTCCACGGGTGAGACCTTCGATTAGAGCCGAAGGGCTGAGAGGGATGAGAGAGAGACCCCTGCATTGTAATGAAGAGAAAGAGAGATTTTTTCCAACTGTGACAAATTGGAACTGCTGCTTTGAAGAGGAAAGATTGTGCTGCCCTGAAAGTGAAAAAGACTTCTTCTTTCCTTCTGGACTTTTGTGGAGAGAAGGAGAGATGATCTATATATATTGTTTTACCATAAGAGAGATAGTTAGGATTGTTGTATATATATATATATATTAGAGTATTTATTGTGTTAGTAATAAATTTTGATGTAATTCCCCCATGTTGGTAGTTATGCATGTCTGAAAACCTCTCTCACACTGAAGCAAATAGTGGAGAGTTTGAAAATTAGATTTTTGGAGAGTCAAACTACAACACCTGCTATGTTAGGTCCATTGCCTTTATGTTTAAATTAGTAATCCAGGAACACAGGCAGAAAGAAGAGTTCGTGTGAAGAGCACTATGGTCAGGTTTGGGAAGATCTCTTTTTTGCCAGTTCTGCAGTCATTGCAGAAGAATATCAAAGTTTGGTTTCATAGGAAAGAATTGTTCTATTCAGTGGTGGACAAAGTGACGCCCATCCCCAACAATGGGTGGAAGGAGGATCCATGGGACTACAGGCGTGTCTGGAGCACAGATCCTATGAGGAGTGGCTAAGGGAGCTGGGATTGTTTAGCCTGGAGAAGAGAAGGCTTAGGGGAGAGCTTATCACTCTACAGCTACCTGAAAAGAGATTGTAGCCAGGTGAAGGCTGGCCTTTTCTCTCAGGCAGCTAGAGACAGGATGAGAGGAAATGGCCTCAAGTTGCACATGGGGAGGTTTAAGTTGGACATTAAAGAATTTCCTCACAGAAAGGGTAAATAGATACTGGAATGGGCTGCCCAGGGAGGTGGTGGAGTCACTGTCTCTGGAGGTGTTTAAGGAAAGACTGGACATAGCACTTGGTACCATGGTCTAGTTGACGTGCTGGTGTTGGGTCATCAGTTGGACCTGATGATCTCAGAGGTCTTTTCCAATCTTATTCATTCTGTGATTCAGTAATACTGGTAAAAAGTGAATGGCCTGCATTATTGCTTCTCTGTGAATGACAAGTGGAAATGCACGAATTGTGCACTCTAGCAGAATAGGAAAGAAAACTGTGGTGCAGAGTTGCGGATTTTCCCTTTACAGTACTTATGTGAAGCTATTCTGCTCCTGTCCTTTTTCTTTTTTTTCCCCCTCAATATGTGCAAAGTCAAATAGACTAAAACATAAACCTTGAAATTATATAAGCTTATACGGCTTTTTCACTCTGATGAAATGGTATGCAGTTCTGTGACCCTTTTAAAAGGCCCAGCTGAAATCACATAAAGCTGATATTATTTACTCTTCCATGGATACGTGTGTGTGTGTGTGTGTGTGTAAGAAGCCACTAGGCTACCTCTGCTTCTAGGTAAGTTGGCACATAATTTAGCGTATTTATTAACATGAAAAGTCATTATATACTATACAACTCTAAATGTTTAAACTGATAAAACAATGAGGATATTTTTCCTGTATGTACTTTAACTCTCATGACTGTATTCTAATATTTATTTGGAGTAGTGTCATCCTTGTTGATAGATTGCCTAAGGAGAAACTGTTAGAATTTACTTATTCACCTTGGAAATGTTTTAGGCAAGAAGTTCCAGATGGAGATGTGTTTGACTTCATTTTACAACGCTCTGCCATCACTGCCCCAAACCCAGAATTACACAATACATCCTGGTATAATTCTGTAATGTGGACTACACAAGACCAGAAGCAAAGGAAAATAGCTATCCATTTCGTAAAGCATGATGAAATGCTTCAACAGCCTGAAGACACCTTGCTTATGATAGAAGGTAAGGTAGATTGCAAATATACCAGTTCTTATGGCACAGTGTCTGTTCTGAGGATGTACAAAGTGAAGATATGTTGAAGTTGTATTCTGTGTAAGTAGTGGTGATCCTAAAGGCATCTTCAAAGAAAAGAAGAACTTCCCTGGAACTGTAGGTCACTGTTGTGCAAATAAGAAAGGGTAATCTTTGAAGGTCTTGTAAGATGCTTCTATCTATTTTAAAACTAAACCTATATGTTTATTGTTGATTATGCTAAAATTAACACCTTAATTTATTTTTTTCTGAGTTGTACTTATTGTTTTTTCAGTTCTGATTTAAAAACTCACCGAGTCTTCTAAACAAACCTGGTTTTAGTATTGACATAGAGAAGTTTTGAAAGGCTTCTGGTAATACAAGCCTACAATTAACTTTGTCAGCCTCTGGATGTCAGTGTTGTTTCAGATTAATAGAGTTTCTCTCACTGTGAGTTTTTTTGGTTTGTTGTGGTTTTTATCAGATTTCCTCAGAGAAGCAAAGTAGCCACTGATTTTTAAACAAAGCAATTTAGCAAGAATACTATTGAGAAATTTTTTAATATAATAAAAGTAATAAATAACTGCACATAGTCCCATTCAGATTTAAAACAAAGTCTTCGATTGTGCTCAAGTAATGGTGTAAGTCAGGTGATCCTTTGTATAGGGGTCAATGACAAAACCCCTTCTATTTTCTGCCTTGTTTTATAAAATTGCTAGTAAAATCATAGGAGAAATATATATGAAAGTGTTGCTAACTAAATACAACTTCTTGGTTACAGTGATAGCTATGAGGAAGATATTAAGGCATGTACTTTTATGATTGTCAATCTTTGATTCTTTATTGAGTCTGTTGTTGAGTAAGAGTGAGAAGGTATTGGGCTATTTTTTGAGTTTTCAATGGTGGCTCTCAATTATTATTGAAGGTCCTGAAATCAGTATCTAATCAGCCAAGAAATACAAGTTGTTTGATTTATTTGTGATTACAGTTTAAGAAACCATGTTTTTCTATATTTAATAGGTGGAACACTGAAAGAAGTCTGGAAGCTTACAAAAAGGTTTAAGTGTGTTATTCCTGTGAGATCCACAGAAGTTGATCTGGAATTATTAGATCTTTCAGCTCCTTTTCTTTTACAAGGGAATGTAAAATATTATGGGTAGGTTAAAAGTATTTGTTGATGTTTCAATAGTTGCAGTAATAGATACCATTTCCTTCAGTAATTCAATCTACAGTGCTTAAGGCATAACTTACCCAAAGATTCTTTGGTGCAAAATACATAACATGATGTGCAGTACCTAGTACCTAAAGTACCTTAATCTACCTCTTTTAGTCCAGGTCTTCCATTTTGTCATCTCACTTAAATTCAAAACACATGTTGCTTTTCAAACTGTATGCTGGGTTGTTTTTTTTTATATATTAACAATATAGCAGATAATATTTAAATAGAGACCCAGAAAATTATCTCAGACTGTCAACGTACATCTCATTCTCTCTCATTCTTAGTGTTGGGAAAGCTTGGGTTTTGGAAGAAGTAAGGAATTTTGGACAGCTTATCCTTACTATTTGTCATTTATTGTGATCCTCAGCACAAAGTGCCTTACCTATTTGTGGATGTCATTCACTGTAGAGATGACTTAACAGGTTTCTGAATTCCACAGTTCCAAGGCTGTGGAATGCAGTACATACATCTCGGTGTGGTATCTGTGATCTGCTCATTGAGCGCCAGCAGCAGTGTGTTCTCCCAGTAGTGCCCAGCAGCATGCAGTTACTGAGCTCAGAAATACCAGTTACTTCATGCAAGCTATTGAGTCCTCTCTCTCAGCAGTCCTAGTAAGTTCAAGCAGAGCACAGTGTGGTGGGGCACTGCGTCAGGTCTGTAGGCAGTAAAAAAATTTCTGTGCAGAAATATTGCATGTTTCATGTGAACCCTAAAGTTTCCCATAAGGGCCATCCATAAAATGAATACGGGTTATTATTTCTCTTTGTCATATACTGTTTTCCCCTTTACAGATATGGCTGTCTACAGCTTTTTTAAATAAAGGCAGTACGTGGGTACTGCTACTGGGACAGGATCTTCACCAATACAAAGTATTTCCCCCTGCACTTTCATAATCCATATATTTTCCCAGCTACACACAACTCACCTTCAGATGATGTTCTCTCTTCAAATGGCTGGATTGTAAAAGTAAATAAGATATTCTGTGATTGTTTATAGGATATTTAGGAAGGAACATCACAAGGATGCTGACATTTCAGAATGATGTTTCATGTGCTTTTTTTATCAGTGGCATATATTTAACAAAGTCTAAAAAAGATTCTGTATAGTAGAATGAATTTATATGTGTGTGCATGAGCATGTATATTCATACGTGTATATATATAAATAGACACACTTGCAAAATTCACAGCTAAGTTACTTTATTGGAGTTTGAGTGGGTTTTTTAAAGGAAAAAAGTGACTTAGCTGAGCTTGACTTTATATCACTGAAGCACAAGTAGTTCTATTGATTTTTATGACATACTTTGCATATAATTCTAAAAGATAATAAATGTTTATTTCAAGTTCTAACTGTCATATAGTAGCTATAGAGTGTGCTACAAGTTCAGATTCATTCCTGCTTCTGCAAACCGAGAAGTAGTGAATATGAATATATGTTTAGCAATGTAGTGATCTTGGAATCATAGAATGGTTGGGGTTGGAAGGGACCTTTGAAGATCATCTAATCCAGGCACCCCCTGGAAAGGGACACCTTCTACTAAACATGGTTTCTCACCTCCATCTATCCTGGACTTGAATAATTCCAGGGATGGGGCATCCACAGTGTTTCTGGATAACCTGTCCCAGTGCCTCACCACCCTCATTGTAAAGTATTTCTTCCTTCTATACAATCTAAATTTACCCTCTTTCAGTTTAAAACTTGCTCCTTGTCCTGTCACTATAGACCCTGGTTAAAAGTCTCTCTCTGTCTTTATTATAAGCCCTTTCTATATATCTAAAGGCCACAATAGGGTTTTCCCGGAGCCTTCTATTTTCCAGGCTGAACAACCCCAGCTCTCTCAGCCTGATGTGCAGTTTTACTCCTGTCTATTCATGGAGGTGGTCTTTTCCAGATTTATTTCTTATCAGGGATATTTCAGAAACAGCATTAAGGGTTTTGATGTGGACTAAAGCTGGTGTGTCTGGTAAAATAATTATTTTAAGCAGCAACAGAAATACTTTTGCACTCCCACTGTGTAAGAAAATCAGAATTTTTTTTTTCTATGCAGAAAACTTCTAGTATAAATAGATAAGTGTTTGGTTAGTCTCAATATCTTGTTTTAAATGGTAGGTGCAAGCAGTGTTCAGCTCCAAAGCCTTTGAAGAGTCTGAGTTCCATTGCAGGAGAACAGCGACCATCATGGGACCCAACTGAAATAGCACAAGGTCAGCTGACATGATACGGTCCTGATATACCTTGATTCTGAAGTGTTTATTTGAAATAGTTTTGTTTGCAGTTCTGGGCTGCAGTTTTTTACAGAAAGCATGTAATTTGTGGTCACATTGAATATAATGTTTTAAAACTTATTCACCTTTTACCAGTGGAAATAACATATTTACTTTTAAAACTGTTGCAGTATGAATTAAAGGATTTTGTATGTTGACTGATTTCTTTTACCGTAAGTATCAGTAGTAACACCTATCGTAGTACAGATGTCATGAATTTTTGGTTGCAGGTTGTTAAACTGTGTATATGCTTGCAGTCCTAGAAGTTAGTCTTGCTTTTCCTTTTAAAGATACAGTTTTTCTGACCTGAACTAAAGAGAGTCTTAGTTAATGACTCGTAAAAGTTAGACTTTTATCTTCTGTAAGCCTTAGGCTAAGCATATTCCAGAGAGTCTGCAAGAAGTAATATTCAAATGAAAGGCACTATACCACAACATTTATGTGTGTTCTGTGCTTTGTGTGTTCCTTGTGTTACTGTATGCAGTCAACATGTTAAAAAGCTGGAAGTGGAGCTTAAAATTTTACAACACATTAGGGAAAGAGAATGTTTTTATGTTTATTGATTCATGTTCTAACATATTGTCAATATCTAGCAGTATGTAAGTTTGGTAAAGATTTTATAAAAGAAAAAAACTATTTGAGCAATAAAGTGATTCTGTTAAATAAGCTACTATAATTGTATTCTATTATATAAATGTAAAGTAATATATAACTGGCAGTGATTGACATTTAATTCTCAAAGTGAAACCAGTATTGATTAATGCCTCCTGACATTTACACTATTTTTATATCTATTATTCTTCTATCATTTGTGTTTTCAGACTAAATTATAACCTGCAAGTATATCAGATCAGTTGATGACTACCAGTTTAAATAGGTGTACCCAGAAAAGACTGATACAGAGTTGTAGGAACTCTGTATGTTTAAGTTATTTTATGTTTGCAGCATAACAGTTACTGCTGCCAGTGAGAGAGATTATAATCATTTACTCTAAGCTGGAATACTTTCAGAACTGTCAGCAAAGTTTTTTTCTGAATAAAACCACCTAGTAGCTTTTCCAATATCATATGAAACAAATTTTTTTCCTCAGAAGATAGTTTTCAGGTGGAATGCATTCTTATTATCACTGAATTAAGAGCACCTCTCTTTTAATCTCCCTTGGATAAAAAAACAGGAGTAGGAGAATCCTACAAAGGTAGGATCTAAGATCCAAGCAAATACTAGCTTTTGCTTACTAGTATGAGAATACGTACTTAAAAATCTTTATGCATTTTTATAGGCTCATCTATTACAGTGTTTACAGGCAAATTGCAATGTGGTCCTAAAATACAAATGACATTCTGCTGTTCACAGCCACTATGTTTTGGTCTGTCAATTTATACTTTTAATAAGAGTATTCAAAGTCAGTTACTATAAAGGAGGGATGTTGTTAACTTGAGTTGTTATAGTTTGTCTTGCGTATTCACTCCAAGAAACATAAATTATTTTTTTTCTTCAGTTTTAGGTATTGAACTTCTCCAGTATGTTTTTATTATGAAGTTTACTCTGGTTGATGGAACAGGAGCACTAAATGCATACCTTTTTGATTATGTAAGTAGATCTAGGTAAAGGTAGACTCTACAGATTATGTGGGTTTGGATTTGATTTGTTTTTAAAATAGCAAATGTACATACACAAATATTCATTATGTGTTACCTGAAGTGTTTTTTTGGGGACAGTTAACAATGCTGTAATGTTGGTAATACTGTACAGAGTGTAGACTGTTAAAGCATAAAGACAAAATGGAAGCTTGTTGATAGATTATTTGGTATTTCCATAGACTTTTCTACGTTTCTTTATTATTGGCAATGTTAAATTATGCAGCCTGAATGCTGTGTGAATGATGAGAGTGTTTCAGGATTTATGCAGGTAACTTCTGGATTAGTTTAAAATCTCATTACCTCTTTTTTAAACTCTCAGTAGAATCTTTCTATTCAGTAATGCTTGATTTTTTTGTTTCATATGACCACGAGGTAAAGGGGCCTTCCTTCCCTAGGCAGAACTCCGCTACATCTGTACGGATATTTGTCTTTTATTTCAGAAGCAGTTTATTCAACTACTTTATTAATCTTAGAATTAACCTATCTTCAGTTTTCTGTGAAACTACTTAAGACCATTCCTGCTACCTGAGACACTGAAGAATGGACACACTACAATTTGGGTGTGACAAAATGGGACAGAAAAAGACTTTAGTGGGGTTTTTTTCTGCACTGCAATACTGTTTAATGTTCCACCATTATACTAAATGACTTTGAATGGGACTTTGAAAAGAATACTTTTCCTTGTTTAATTTTAAGACTGTAAGTAAAAGTAATATCAGGGAAAACATAAACATATTTTCTTAAAATACACAATGTATTAACAGCAAAGGAGGTCAAAGACTGCAATCACCATTTCAGGTAGTAATTGTTTCCTTTTACTGACCTTTTTTCCTTTTTGTATTGAGAAACTAAACTGCAAAAGGAAGGTGGGGGGAAAGATTTTAAACCATCTCTTGATGCAGAATTCAAAAAATTTCTACTTCAGGGTGGCTCACATTCTTATCAAATACTTCTCAGAACTAGAGTTTAGCTGCAGGAAAAAACCACAATTTCCTCCGCAGTGCCAGCTGCTCGTATTCTTGCTGAAAGGACTTCAAAGACAAGCCAATACCTCCCAAGCCTAAACTCCAGTCCTTTAGCACCACCTAAGAAGGAACTGGGCTGCTTTGAAGTGCAGCTGTACACTAGCTTCCAGTTGCACTTCTGTAGGAATACACTCAGTTCTTTTATTTCCTCCTCTCTTTATAGGAAAAGTCAGTGAAGGAAAAAATAAAAAAGTTTTGTAGTGAGAAGAACTGGAAGAGTGAAAGGAAAAAGCAGTTGTCTGTGTCAGTTTTGCTGCTGGATTATCTGCTAACTTCTGATCAGTGCCATTAAACATACCATACAAAAATTATACAAAGGGAGAATTATTCTGTATTTGTATCTTTTAACAAAAACAACAAATGACCATCAAAAACCTTAGCTCACTCTGACAACTTATAAAATGATGAGCCTTTAGAGATACAAAAACTGGTGGCAAACTTGGAAAGAATAAAATTGGAGTTTTGTCAGTCATACTTACTGCATGTGGTTTAATAATACAGAGAAAATGTTTATTTAATGTTTTAATGTTCCATTCTTTATTTGATGTCTCCATTCAGAAATGTACCCCACAGTATAAGCCTTCCTTCGTAGTTTCTGAAACTGTCAAAAAGTGGAATTCACACTAAGGGAGCTTTACTGCTATGAAGCCAGGTTGCAGTGCCCCTTGTTTTCAAGTGACTTTGATCCTCTCCGGCTGTAACATTGTCTGATTATGGAGATTTATGAGAACTATCCACCAGTTATGTATAGAGACCTATATGTGTGCTGTCAGGGTGGCTGTAGTTCCTGAATACTCTGTACTTAAATACAGACTGTTAATTTTTTATAATAATTTTTTTTATTAATACGCTGTACTGAAATGCAGACTATTAATTTTTTCAGTTTGTTTTTTTCTGTATCTGAACAGTTTTTGAAATTAGATTATTCTTATGTCACGTAATTTTAAGCTGCTAAAAGAAGATACAGTCAAGGTCCTGGCTAATTATTTCTGACCCCTCTTTCAACACCTCATACTTATCTGTTCTCTTCCAGGAAAAGTTTTTCCAAATTCCTGCCTCTGAAATCCTAACTAACAATTTTCTTCAGGAAAAGATGCAGATGACCATGAATATGCTCTGTCCTCCAGGAAGAAAATTAGGTCAGTTTACCGTTATTTTTAAAGGGAGTTGGGGTGGGAAGGGAAGGGATCCTTCAATCTGCTATTGTATATGCGAAGTCTTAGAATTCAACTTATGCACAGGCAAAACTCAGAACAGAGTCTGCTGGAGTCTGTAAGCAGAATTCCAATTAATTTGTTCTGATACATTTCTTTAATATTGGAACTCCCTTTGAGAAAGAAAGTAATGAGTCAGTAAATTCTTATGTAGTATGCGGTGATGTGTGAATACAGTCATGCCTGTGCAGGCACTAACATGTCATTTGTATTCGTATGGAAGTTAACTAGAACACCCTCATACTGAATGTCGCAGCGCGTTAGGGAAAGCTGAAAGGAAATTCATGTATGGCATGTGCCTTGGGTGATATTCTGCTTTCCATTGCACATGTTGATTTAGACCATCCCTTACTACAGGAAACATCCATGGAAATTGAGCAAATACTTAATCCAAATCCATTCACAGAGCTTTTTGTGCAGTGTTTGTGTTGTGAGAGAAAGTGGCTCTGCCTAAACTACACATGTCCAAGGTAGCTGGTTATGTGGTGCAGCTCCGACCTCCGGAGCGTACTCCCAGTACACAGCTGTCAGTGACCACTGCAACCATGCTGCAATCTTTACCATACTTATAAAAAGTGTCCCTGTTGTAAAGGTTGTAAAGGATTTTCCCTTTGTGACCAGTGAAATTGTCTCACTGAGACACAGGGAGATTAATTTTTATTATTGGAAAGTCTTTACATACATATTACATACTATGGTACAACTACTGGGTCCAAGTGTTTTGGGGGTTGCTGGGACAGGGAGGACAAGTCATGAAAGACTGTCACTGAACACCATTTCAGATGTTGCTGGAAACTTTGGAGATACCAACTGGAATGTCAAAATTAGTAATTAATTTTTCTTTCTAATAACTATTGTATGCATTTATATATCATAGTTAAGATCCTGCTCAAGTTGTCTCTTATAAAAGTTAGAAATGAGTATTGAACAGTAATTTGGGTTTTGTTGGTAGGTGACTTGCCATGGCTGGAATGCTTCATCAAGTCCTATAATGTCAGAGATGCAAAGAAACATCAGGTTTATTACCAAATTTTTGACACTACAGTTGCTGAAGATGTTGTATAGTCATGTGTTGCTAGTGAGAAGTAAGCCAGTAAGGAATTTTTGGGGGTGGTTGGGGTCACAGACTGTATTAAAAGAAATCTTTGTTCCTTTCTCAGAAATTCAAGCTGTGTGTATGAGTTTTTAGTTTGTGTATGAATGTGAATGGGAATTATGCTTTGATGTATTTACATACAGCTTTGTGATGCAAGGGCAAGTGGAGATGCTAAGCTTTTCACTGGAAGCTGCTTGGCTCAGGTTGATGGAAGCAGTCGAGTACTCATCTATCCTTCAAAAAGGCAGTCTTGAGGTTACTGTAAACTGATGAGTTTTACTCAGAAAATCTAGTCAGAATTATGCTTCTTGTTATTTTTGTATAATGTCAGCAAAGATAGAAGGAGCTTTTCAGTAAACTCTTTCAGACTACTTTGTGCAAGCCTATGTTACTGTTCTCAACCAGTTTGACAGGGAGATTGTTGATTTTTAGAGACTTCTTTGATTTTGCGCTGATGTGTACATTTAGACAGAACTTATCCTCTTAAAAATACTGAGGTAACCGCTACTTATACCAGTTACTGTAGATTCTGGTGGTGTTATGAGCATAACCATGTAATGACTATCACTAAAATTAAAGTCAAGTCATGAAAGTAAGGTAGTGTAAAATTGTTACATGAATATTGACATTTGGTAGATGGTAATGACTTAGGGTGGCCCTGTTGGGTACCAAAGTTGGTAGCATGCTTATTAGCTGGGTCTGTGTTTTCAAAGACTCTCATGTATCTGGCTAAATGTACTGTCAGATTGCACTGCCTAGATCTGCCTTTTCCATCTTACGTAATCAGATTGTATGACTAAATTTAGAGATACAGAATTGATCGAGTGCTATCATGGATTGAAAATTCTGCGGGACTAGAAAAGTGACTTGGTTGTTTTCCTTTGCGTTCAGAAGTCCATAGAACAAATTCAGGACATTTTTCTCCATGGATTTCTACATTAATAATCCATGGAGAAAAATGTCAAATCAGATGCTTTCCATCAGAGCAAAATTACTTAATATTTAAACAGCTGTTTTTAATGAAGTTCAGGAGCCAGATGGAATATCTATTTGTAAGTAGATTATTATTTTGATAGTAGATGAGGGGTTTTTTTCCTTTTTCAGGGATGTTTAGTAGATTATGAAATTTGTCATTTAAAATTTCATCAAATATTTTCTGATAATTTTCTGATTTCTGATAATTTTCTCTAAAAAATTATACTGGGTTTATATGTTCTGAGGCAGGAGATTGTTCCTTACTGATTGGTGTATAGGCAGAACCAATATTAAAAGTGGTTAGTGGATATCTCCTTTAAAAATTCTGAAAAATAAAACAACTTTGGACTTGAACAAGCAGTTTACCAAAGAGTCTACTGACTTATGAAAGTTCACCTGAATATTTGAATAAATGTATCAACAAAAATAGTTACAGCAAGTTACTAAATGATTATTATAAAACTTTGGACGCTGGCCACATCCAGATAATTTCAGAAGCTACGGGTTAAATTAAAGGCAATCTTTTTTGCTTTTATTGTATATAGTGTATGAAAACAGGAATTTTTATTTTTCTATTTTTGTTAACTCCGAAAGATATTGGTATTGTACATTTTTTCTAAATAAATCTTTGTAAAGTAATAAATGAGAATATGCTTTGAATTTCGGTGTAAAATCAGTATCACCATGTACCTTGTCTGAGATCCGTGCCCGAAAACTCTGCATATGCATCACAATTTTTTTACTATTGAATATTGTATTAAAATGCTTAATAAAGATATCTCCAAATATTAAACTTTTCTTGTACTTGACTTTTAGTTACTAGTTCGTAAGTGTGAAAACTTTATCATCAGTAGCCATCATCTAACCAAATGCTCTAAATGAATGTTTATATAGTTTGTTGAATTGAAAAATACACATTTAATTCTCTTTCTAATTAACAATTGAAAATTATATATTTGGCAATACTAAAGATCACTGTATAGAAAGGAATTAATGCACAGACATTGAAAAAGATCTATGTCTCATTGGTAGCCTTTGTATGGAGCGATAGAAGTCACTGAGATGGGACTCAGACCTTAGTTCCCTATCCTGGTCAACGCTGAGACCTGTGAATATTTGACTGAGGGGTGGAAATCCTGAGATTCTTGTGTCCTAAATTTGCAGCACCGACAGGCTACGGTTTTGAAAGCTGAGCATCTCAGGCAGCAATGACTTTTAGCCATTGCTAGCAATCTCCTTAATTACAGAAAAAAGTCACATTTCCTTTGGTGAGTTTCTTGACCAGGTGTATGATTTCAGTTTTTAAAGACACTCAAAAGTTGAACGAGTAGATCAGGTTAATACTGGTACACTGAGGTCCAGTGAAAACTCCAGGCATATGTTCCTGGTTTCTCATCTTTCTCCCTCCACAAAGATCCCAGCATATAGGGTAACTGAATCAAAACATCAGCTTCTTACTAGAAATGGCGAATATGCATGGAATATGAAGTCTATCTCACACAGCAAAATCATCACAGGCAAGGGGGAAGAATATCTGATTGTAAACGAGAAGCTGGGAGGGAAAATAAATTTGAAAGACCAATAAAGGAACATTAGGCCATACCCTGTTCCAATTACACAGGTAAGTGCAGAGAAATTGATAAAATTGTAATTAAAAAAAAAAAAGGATTTTCAGAAACAGAAAGGAAAAAATAAATTTGGAATAGTGCTTTTAGGGGTGCCTGTGCAATTGGGCTCCTTGAAGTCGGTATTTTAAGAGGGTTTAAAAGCTTAAGATTGGAAGTCTCTCCAAAGTCAGCTGAATTTAAGCTCCCAGATGTGTCAGACTCTCGAAACTCCAATTGAAAAGACAGAATGTAAATAAATAAGAGACTGCAGAAACAAGGAGGCATTCCTGGTAGGTGACCTGCTGTTCAGTGGAGATTGAACTTTCTCATCAGCTTCTGCAGTTATGGGATCCAGAAATTTACAGACAAGGCTTTGAAATGCTTAAATACTAATCCTTTGACTACTGAGCAGCAGGAAGCAGGATTGCAAGAACAGTAGAGCCCATAGGCTACAAGCTGAGGTTTGCAACAGAAGGAAGAGAGTTTATTGTCTTAACAGGGATGAGTGCTTAGCTCTTCAATACCACAGTGTTTTAGATCACAAAAATTTATGCACATTAAGTCACTTTTTGGCCAAAGCCAAATGTGAAACTGGCAGGAACTGGGGTACTGCAGTAAGGGGCAAGGCCAAATACTGAAATGGAATTGTGAAAAAATTAAGCAAATATACATGCTCAAGTTCTTCAGGTGGAATGGGAGCACTGCAGAAAATTTTATTCAGTAGAGGAGACAAAAATTTCAAATAAGAATTTACTTCAGATAAGCATTATTCAAACTGTACTGAACAGTGAATGTTAAGAATTGGAAACAAAAAAAATTGTTCAGCAGAAGATTAAGAGAGAAGGAAAGAACAGACTGTAATAAAGGCAAAAAGAGGTAGTAGAGAGTCTTTATGAGACAATTTGCTGCCACTCCTGTTCACAGCATTTCTTATACATGAAATTCCCAGTGAGAACTATGGTTTGTGGAAATATTCATCTAATGAAGGATAACCAGATCCAAAGTGCTTGAAAAATATAGAGCAGAATTAGGCTGTAATTCATATTTGTAGTAAAGTTATGGATGGACTTCACCCCAGAACAGTCTGCTACAATGTGTTTTTCCTTCTTGTTTTCTGCTGCAACTCTGATATACACCTACAGAGGTATCTCCTTAAAACTGCTGTTCTGTTACCATTTCTCTGCATATACTGAGCAGATTGAGAGTCTAGGAATAAATCTACATTTAGTAGATACTTGTTTTAATTTGAATTTTTGCTAGTAAACTAGGAAGAAATATGCTAGATGTGGAAATATGTGCCAGAGAGGAAAAAATTATTTTTTTTAAATCTCCTAACTGCCCTATTAAACACAAAGCTTTAAGCACAAATTTGTTCTATGCCTTTTACTGTGTGTGTGTACACCTGTGAACTGACACTGTTAAAAGAATACAGTTTTGTGACGTACAAGCTGCACTTTCAGAATTGAATGTGTATTTAGTTGTAATTTCAAAAGCCAGCTATCAGGTAGCTCTGATTTAAGGAGCTGTTACTTCACTGAAAGGAATTCTCTGGATGATGCCAGTTTATAAATGCTGCTTGAATTTTGTGGCTAAAAGAGCAGCAAAACTGAAACTGAAATCTGCTGCTGGAACAGATTTAACTACAGATTTTATTTCTTTCTTCTGTCTACAAATGAGCCATTAAGCAACTCAAAGCCCCTCTGAAGCAAAGTTTGAAATCACAAATGTGATCAGTTACTGGCAGGGTGTGTATTTACCAGAAGGGCTCTTTATTGTTTTTAATGGGGGTGGATAAGGGGCTTGCACCAGACAACAGTCTTTAGTGCTGCTGTTCTGTCATACTTTCATTTGATGCTCCATCATGGGGGATACTCTTTTCCTAATACATTTACTGGGCTAAAGATATGAAATGGTATTAATAAAAATGAAACTGTTGCAGTGATTGAGTTTGACATAAGCCCACAATATAAGGAGATGTCAAAGATTATCTAGAGATGCTTCCCTTTGGTCTTCCTTTCTGCAGAGGTACCCTCATACCTGTAGTGGTGTGCATAAGATCTCGCTGCCCAGAAAACTGCAGTTGTCTTAAAGGGAAACAGCAGCTTCCATTTGCTGTTTTGTCAAGAGTAAACCAAATAGCCTTAAAAGTAAGGAGAAAGTGAAGAATTGCTTTTCCCCTACATTTGTTAGCAATGTGCTGTGGCTTGGGTCCTTCAGCAGGAAAAAGAAGCAGAAAAAGCTTGAAAAGTTTCATTTGAAGGGATGAGAAAGGTAAGAAGTTATATGTGAAAGAACAGTTTAGATTGAGGAATGAACCTTAAATATGTAACATTGCACTTCCATAAATCAGATGTTGTACCTTGAAAATCCTGATGCAGATCTGTTGACTGCTATGCTCTGTATGATTTGATATATTTATGATCTGATAATGAATAACTTTTTGAATGTTATTCCAATCTGTTGTGATTAACTAGAGTAGTTCACAATTATATTTCTAAACAAGTTTAATTCCTCTCAATCCACTTACTGGAAATTGGTTTTATCTGAGCTGAGAGAGGTCAGTTTGTTTTTCCTTTAAAAACTCTGAAAAAAAAAATTGGCAAAATCACAATATTTGTCATTCACCAAGTGCCGTGTCCTGCTCACATCAAATCATTTTTTCTGGCAAGAATGATATTCCACAATGATACCATGTAACTGTATCTTTTCACAGTAAGCTAACCAAGGCATTGTAAAAATAGCAGTAGTTTTCAAAGCTCATTTAGCTCTTCTGTAAGGCCTGGAAAAATGTGAACATCTTTGGCCTACTTTTCAGTCTGGGTAAAGAGGGAGCTGATCTGATGTGATGGAGCAGGGAATCCTGAATTCCTTTCTTAGTGGCTCTGGCCAAGGTACTCAAGCCTCATTTTAAATATTGAGGTCATTGGCTAATATGTGTTAGGAAAGCATAGAACTGTACCAAATACTCCTGTCAAGAGCATGTGCAACAAGGCAAATCAGAATTAGAAGTCAATTCAAATTGAAACTGACAGAAGGAAAAATGTGACTGTGGTATATTCTGCTTTTGGTAATTCAGCTTTGGTGAAGAATCTTGGTCTGAACCTTAAACCAAATAGTAAATAAAAACATCATCTGATGAAAAGCACAATTAAACTACTTGCTCAAATAGAGCAGAGACCTCAGAAGAGGCACTGTATTTAAAAGTGCTTTTTTTCTTTTTGGATACCATACAAGAACTTTATACATAAGATAACTTAGAGATATATATATAACAAATTCACAGGCAAACAATTTGCATGTATTCAGTATGTATTCAACCATAATTATATGTGTAGTGTCTTATCTTGTGCACTGCAAATAATATATGCATATCTGGGAACCATACCTTTATTGAGATTAGAGTATTGGAGTGCACTATCCAAGGGACTCATCAAAGCTGAGTCCAGATTCCAAACCTGACAGCTGTCAGTGATGGATGAATCTGTACCTAAGAATTCCAGTGAACAAACTGGCAAACCCCAGCCCCAACTGGAACACCATGTAGTATGGCATGACCCAAAAGGAGGAGCTCATCTGGCTCTGCAACAGCTGCACTTCCCAGCTTCAAGAGGGACATCACATCGCTGTCACCTCCTCTATAATTTCCATCCTTAGTAAATCATCTATCCAGCTTTGAGTGTCTGTGCCTTTGTTATCGAAATCCCAAAAGAACTGGCACCTCCTTGGTGTAAAACACTATTGATTTTCAAACCACATATCAATACTCTCCTGTTGGTCCTCAAATTCATTCATAAAGGTTGAATATTAAAAAATGCAGCAGTTGGTCTAGACCAAAAGGAGAGCAGATTAAAACAGTTTAAAACAGAAGCAGCAGATTAAATCACTTTACAATAGCTGTGTCTAAACAGTTGCAAAACACATATAGACGAGTGTGCATAGAGACAATTTGTACTGTAGTAATATAGCTCCTTAATTCCTCCTTTTCCATTTGTGCCTAATTCCACGGTTTATTTTGTTGTAAAAGAAATTTCTTCTTGGTGAAAAAATTACTTTTATCCAATTTTTCCTGGTCAAAAAATTACATTTCCTAACTTTTTGTAGGGAGTAGAGAAAAACAATTGCCAATTGGCACTTTTTGAATGTTGATAAGCTTATTTTTTAAGAGGCCGTAGAGAATTAGGTGTAG